ATGTTTTTCACATAGAACTCATAATTCCCCACAAGAACAAAAAAGCAATTAACGTCGTCATTGTGTAACAGTACATGTACTCGTTGTGTAACAATACGTGTACTCGTATATGCCGAGAGAAATTTTTGATTTAGGGAGAATAAACACCGGCGTAACGAGGTTTAAAGGTTCAAAAACATGCCATGCTGACAAAAAAAAATTGGCGATTGTAACAAAATACAATGGCGCACGTTATAAGCGGCCTTTCAAGTCTTCTAAAAATGTCAAAAGGTAAAAGATTCGACCCCTAATTTATTCATATGTTTGTCAAGTGTCAGATTTACAGCTTTAGTATATATAATTTATGTTTCAAATTTAGAAATAATTATGACTTGTATTAACCCTATTAAAAAGGTTCAGCATTTAAATTAGGTAAAGTACTTTTAACTTGCTCAGGAATATTAATCTGAAAGTAACAATTTTAACATTTCTTTTGGGGCTCCGTGAATAATAGTCAACCTTTTCAAGGGCTCCGCAACACCAAAAGTTTGAGAACCCCTGCCTTAGGGGTTCCGCGTTTTTTTTTTCATGTAAAATCATTTCTTGCTTCAGCATGTTGATGCGTCATTATAAATATTATATATTATATATTACTCTTAGACCACCGTGTCTCATTCAAACTCCAAGTAGGCCAGTTCGTTAAACAGGAGGTTTAGTTGACAAAACAGAAATATTTTCGGTTGTTGTGTCACTTTAGTCATTGTATGCAACTAATAAGAACGCTATTGTTGCACCATAGTTACATGATGTTCAAATTATGTAGATATTGCTCGAGACTAGAAAGAGTATGTACTACAAACTATATATGCTCTTATGTGAGGCGAAACAATAACAACGGTGAAGGTCAGGACGGCAATGAGCAAAGTAGTTCAAATGCAAAAAGAGGCAAATGCTCCTCCTCCGAAGCGAAACAAATGTAATTCAATTGCCAAAGTTAGAAAATGGGATGAAACATATTTGAAATACGACTTCTTTTTGCCCGATGACCAGATTCTGAATGCAGCTCCACAGTCTGAATGTCTCATTTTCTGTAAGAGACTTTTTATTCTGCACTAGCTCCAAATTACAAAGACACTTGGAATACATGTGGGAAAAATACATATTGTACATGTGGACAAAACATTTGATGAATAAGATGTAGGTGTAAAAGTCATGTGATTCCAAACCTTTTCCGTTACAATTCTTCCTTTATCAAATCTTTTACCCTTTTTATTCTTCCCTCACTATGCATAAAAACTACTGTAATTATTTAAACCTTAGATCTTTGTCTAGTGTCCTAGTTAAAAAACAGATTTTGTACAGTTTCAGTATTTTCTAATTGAATGTGTGCATTGTATTATAGTAGGCAGAGCGAACTCTGGAAAATCAGTAATGCTACAGCAAATACGAAGCCGATTCCTCTTCAAAAGAACAAAATTACTACCCATTGGATCTTGTGGATAAATCCAGGAGCGGCACATTGCTGGAGGGCGGCAAAATGTGGCAAAACGTTTTAAACGAAGCGGAAAAACGTTTTAAATGAACCAAGGCAGTCACATTAAACGACCTTATTTACCAATGAAGCCAAAAAATTACACAAGATATACGTCTAAACTAGGTGTTTTATGGCTCGTGGCCCCCTTCCAGCGCCTATTTGCACTCGCGGTCTCCGTGTTCGCCATTCCAAATAACGAAACGTGTTGGATTGTATTATGTGTTTACGACCTATTATGGAATGCAAAAGCAAACCACAGAGAAGAAAGTAAACGCTCTCCAGTATACAATCAAAGGGAATTTTGCGCTTAGGACTGTCTGACGAGGTTTATCGTATTAGGAGCAGTCTTTTTTTTTTATAGCTAGACGAATGTCAACATCAAGACGGTTTATAAATTTACTTTGGTAAAGTCAACGGAACTGTTGTTGTTGTCGTTGTTAGTACATCTTTCTGTGCCTGAAGGCCCAGGAACGCAGCTATTCATGTGTTCATCCAAAACGGTACTGTAGTTCAATTTTCGTAATTGCGTCTATAATATATGCGCTAGCGAAGGTTATCTCGCAGTCGAGTGGAACTGCCATTCTTTAGGTTAGACCAGACGGCCTACAGGCGAGCTATTTTCATTGGTAGATTTCAAATTCCATTATGATCAAACAACTCACGCACAAGAAAGTGAATACACCCTGACCCTATGATCGCAAATAATCCCATTCAGGTAATGAAACTGCCGTGAAAAGTATGCAAACGAATTCGCTATATAATAAATTATTAGTCTTGTGTCGTGGCCCCCCTCGAACTGCTTCGTGGCCCCTGTAGGGAGCCCTCGGATGAGAACCACTGCACTAGTACAATCAAGTGATTTTACATTTAAAAATGACGCTACAGCGCTGGACGTCCTGCAGTGGTTTGCAAACATCGTTTATGTAAATCAACACCTTATTTATTCACGAGTCTCAAGCTTTACCCACTGTTGCCGTTTCTTTCACAAGCTGTGAATAACGAAGTCGAAACCCAAGTTGATAAAGTTTTACTCGAGATCGACTATGGGAGAAAGCAGGCTGCCTGTGCCAGCAATACTGCCCATTGAAAGTGATTTAGTCGAGACATTATCTTTTGACGATATAATTTCTGAATTTGCTTCAATGAAAACTAGACATTGAATTTGGAACTTTCGATAAAATTTACTATTCACTGCTTTAATTCTTCTGTTGTGTGGAATTTTATTCAGCTTTTACGACGGTGTTGAGGGGGCGGCCATTCGCGCAAAGATCCGGGGGCGCCACATTGCGTTGTTACGCCACTGGTCTAGTGTCCTAGTTAAAAAACAGATTTTGTACAGTTCCAGTATTTTCTAATTGAATGTGTGCATTGTATTATAGTAGGCAGAGCGAACTATGGAAAATCAGTAATGCTACAGTAAGTACGAAGCCGATTCCTCTTCAAAAGGACAAAATTATTCGCCAGGTATGAATTTTTTTCCAGTTTGGAAAACGTGCCCCCAATGAATGAGATATTTGTTGACAACTTACGTAATAAATAATACTATCTTTACATATAGTATATATGCCCAATCAGTCAATGCTCAATTGAAACGATTCGTTTATTTTTGTTAGAAAGACGCATTTGTGAAGCAGACTAATTCCATCAAAAACATGACTTTATGTTTTTTTGTAGTGAATGCGCCAAAAATGTATGATTACAATGATTTAAGAAATTGTGATTGTAGTATTTTTTCAAGTATCATTAGTAGTATCATTAAGTACGAATGACTTGAAGATGAAAAAAATAAGGAAACTTAACATAGAAATAAAAAGAAATTGGTATAAAATAGTAAAAGCAATTGAGGCTTGCAATAAAATAACAAACATCTTTGCAGAAAAAATATAAGGTATTGCAGTTACATATAAAATCGGAAAGGAAAATGCAATAGAATGATGAAAATATCATAAAATAATATGGTAGTATTCATGTTAGATGGGGCAACAATTTCTTGGTTCGATAGATAATTTCAACATCTGCCCGGGACAATATTAACTTTTACAAATCATATTAGTCTACAAACTACCTGAATAATTCTCCTATTGCTCTAAATTTACAAAAAAGACAAAAATCGCATGTAGCGCCGATCAAATGCATTAAATGTGAAACTATTACTTGGATTTTAATGTCAAACAAGTTGATTTTTAATTGCTATCCAATGATAATAATCAACATGCGCCGTAATTAGTTGTGGGCAAATAGTTTTTTCAGTCGAATTATTCGAATATTTTCAATGAACACAACACCGAATAATGAGTATTGTCGTTTCAAACAACCGTAATTAGGATGTTGGCCGCCGTTCTTTATTTTCATAATGTTTTTCATAATCCAAGGCTACAGTAAATATTTTTGTCACCGCGATCCTTTCGGCGGCTTGACATCCCAATTAATGATGATAAACTATATATTAAAGCACTTTTTATTCACTAGTGAATATAAATTCTCATGTAACGGCGGATATCGAAGTTTGGTTTTTATTTTTTGGACAGTTATTTGATTTCACATCGGCGACGATGTCAACTTAAGAAGTGCATTTCAAAACAAATCAATTTTATTCTGCTTTTCATCTTTTTTGTAGGATTTGTATCACAGTTTGTAAAGTAAGGTCCCAATTTTAAGCGAACAGTATTACTGACGAAAATTTTCATAGATTACAAAATTTACCAGTCCTACTTATCTGGTTCGACGATTCTAAGTTCCAAAAACGGTGTACGCGCTTTATTCATAATTAGAAATTGAAAAATATGATAATTCTTTATTAATGTAAATTAATGTTAATAAATTCTAATTTGCTTTTCAAATCGCTGTGATTTGTATAATTGACGTGATTGAGTCAGGAATGAAGGGGAGGAAATACCGCTTTACAAATTGAAGTATTATGCTGTTAGAATTCTTTTTCTTGCCGTTGTTTTGAAGAAATCGCGTTTCCCATTATCTACCTGACCAATTGCTTTGAAATGTCCAGTGGTTAAGTGTGGTGGCCGTGGACCTACGACTTTCTACGGCCGACAGAAAAGATATTTTATTTTAACATAATCTGGCTCCTTTCTCGCATGGACTGGTAATCGGGAGAAAGGCCGTGGTTCGCCATATGATTAAGCCACTTTAACGGCTTTCCACTTTCTCTGGTTAAAAATGAAATCCAATTCGAAAAACCGGCTAACTAATCCCATACCCGACATCGACTCGTAACCTGACGAGGAGCCGTGGTACAACATATGATGAAGCCGTTTTATCGGCTATACTCTCACTAGATGATAAATATCCACTTTCTTCTCTCTCTGAATAAATATCAAAATCCTATCGATCTGTAAAACCCGAAAATAGCGTCAGCTATGTACTGCCTCCTTTTGCCAATTTATACGAGCCTTCAATTTAATAGAATTAATAAAGGGAAGGTGAAAACCAGGATACTGTTACCGCATGATTATACAACAATCTCGGAACATTTTTTATGAATAAATTTAATAACATAAACATTCAACGTATAGTTCAACAACGGTACAAACTTTTATTTGAATAAACAAAAGAAAAAAACTAATGAAAACATACAATCAGTAATAATGTATTAAATTAAAACTTGAAGCATATCAAGGGCTTGAGAAAATATACAGGCGCCATCAATAACTATTTGTCGTCTTGCTTCAGAACATACTTAGGTAACACATGAAAATCAAGATAAGAAAATATATTGTGAACCACAGCCTGAGAAAAACCTGCGATTTGTCTGATTCATGCATGAGAATGAGATGAACCTCTTGGGTAAGCACTCCTTGTAGATGTCACATTCTCATAACAACTGCTGGTTAAAGCGAAAAAAAAAGTTGTTACCCGAAAATAAAAATTATCTCTCTATCGAAACGAATTTTGATATTTTTATCAACAGTAAACTTCAATGCTGCACGATTTGAACTTGAATCCTATGGAGACCCAAAAGAATAAAGTTTATGGGATAAAAAACACGTAACCACACAAATATATCTGCATTTTGAAAGTAGATGGGAGTAAAAAACGATTTTTTTTTTGAGAAGACGGAAGTTTTTTTCGTATATTGATGTATTTACATGAAACAATAAGAAAAATGGTACAGAAGATTTTAGAAACCAAATAAACCTGCTCAATAATAAAAAATGTGCATACCAATTTGAAATTACATTTTCCGCAAACCGCATTCGTCTATTGAAACAATATAGATAGAAATATAGATTTAAAGGTATTGCTTATTAGTGAAGAGAGAAAATGGACTTACATAGGGAAATGGAGGCCACTTTGTGAGCCCCAGTAAACCCTTTTCGACCAAGACTATCATTTCTTTTTTATTTAGGTAGTAAGATTAGGTTTTTGTCAGATGATGAGAGAATTAAGAAATTTTATCTTGTGTAAAATAAAAACCTAAAACACAGAAAAAATGCGGAATTTTTAACTATAAATTTTTGTTATATACAAATTATTATTAATATAGTTTTCAATCGAAATCAATGCTCGTAAATGGTCGATTAATAATTCGATATCTTTTCGAACAGGATCAAAAATCTTCACTTTAAAATCTGAGAAATGGGCAAATGAAATCAAAAACAATGCAGTAGATTGTAAAAAAGCAATAGCAAATTTTTGCAAGCTTCCTAGTAAATTTTTATAGCACTAATAAAAAAAAAATTTTCTTGTATATTCCTAAAGTACTGTTGTATAGAGAAATTGATTGGTTGCTATAGGACAATTGATAAACTCGTATCGGTCATTGTCAGGAAAATTTCAGCGAATCTATTTGAGCCTATATTCCTGAAGGATTGAATGTGCCATAGAGATGATTCATGTGTAAAGAAATTCTTTTTAACACATTCGGTGTCTTGCAACTATGTTTTGACTACAGAAAACAAACTACAGTTAAAACAATATAAATTATTTCCTAAATGAACAAAGTTATATAAATCAAAATACAAAAGAATATGCTTCTTCACCAATAGCGTTCTTCCTTTAATTACCAATGACATGAATTTTATCGGAAAAATATGAGTTAAAACAATATTCATTCAGACATTTATATCTTGATAATACGGCACATTAATTTTTCAACATAGCCAATATGGATAATAATATGACCTAAACAAAAAAGGATACTTGAGCTATCAAAAAATGCTGTTGACGAATTCATAAATTACTACGTTAATTTTTGTACAGCCAACTTTCTCACAATATTCTGATAGAGAATTACAAAGAATTCTAAAATATTAACTATCAAGAAATGGAATTTCATATAAGTTAAATCAGAAATTATACAGTTGATGGCTCAATACCAATAATACCAAGCAAATGTGAGAATGGACGACTGGTAGTAATCTAGAACTGTTATAGAATTGACATTCAGATACCGTTAAAAATAGGTAAAAAAAATTTAAAACGAAAAATCAAAAACCGAATTACCGGTAGTTTTTACACAAATAAAACAGTTGTCAGGTTAATATGGAAGTGCCAAGCACACTTATTGTGCTGTAAATATCAGTTGCAAATTATATGCATGAGAATGCAATAGCAAAGAATGAAAGGTATATTTTGGAGAAAAAAATATAAATTTAAAACGCTAAAAGCAAGGTTCAGAAAAAAACATACAAAATCAAAATAATGAACCAGACGGGGTAAGGAACTGCATTTATATTAATCACGTTTCATACTTTAAAATCTGTTATTTTTAACGAACTAAGGGGGATTGCATTATTAAACAAGGTATCTAACTTCTAACAGAATGATGAAATAGAACTTCCATTTTCAAAGCCAGATTGAGTGCAGCAAACTTAAATTAAAAACTCCATTTCAAAAATAAACGATCACTTTTGGATAAAAATAAACTAGTTTAAATTCAGCACATATAGTCTTATGGGTAATATGTCTTATCAGTGGCCAATATACTATATAATAAAATTACATTTATTAACAATATAACTATATGTTACGCTACATAAAAATACGGAGATAATAGTATCGTGATGCAATCATTTTCACAAAAAATGAAACCCAGAAAACTGATTTTTATCTAAGTTTATAAAATGAATATAAAACGTAAGATTTGTAACTTTGGTTATAATTTCTAAATTATCAATACTTGTTTCTGAGTCAATTTATCAAAAAAGGGGTCATTTCAGAAACACAAACTGATTTTTATACCAAATCGAACTTCCCCATGGTAATTCATAACAAACACAAATTTTCATCTGTAAAAAGCCGAGAACAAAACCATGTCAGAAATATTCAAATTCGACTATGCAACTTTTTCCACCTGCAAGACAACACTTAAATCCAATTCATTTGAAGCTGTTATCCGAGACACAGGTATAAGATGAAAATAATGCGTCATCATGCAGTTGGGTTTTCATTTTCTGAAGTCATTTTATTTTCTATCGAAGAAGACACGTCGGCATTAATTTCAGCTGACATGAAGTGCACCGGAGGTGACATGGCCGTATTTTGTTTGATTTGGTTTGTAATGTCACTAATTTGTTCCTGGGTCATGACCTCATCATCTTCATCATCGTCATAATTTTCATATTGATGCATTGCCGGTAAAAAGTTGTGAATTGAATGGACGGAATTCATGCTACGTTTATAATGTCTGGTTTCATATAAGGAACTTCGGAAAGCGTTAACAACCCGAATCTAAAAGAAAAATGAGAACATATTATGAAGTCATCAGAAAAGTAGATAAACGGGGGGAAATTTAATAACAAAAGAAGTATTTACTACAAGAAAATGAGATATTTCGAGTCGAAAAATACAAAAAAGCCTATCATCTCAAAAATAATAAAAAATTATTCTGAATAGAATGATGCTGAAAAAAAAAGAATAAATGTATTTCTTACTCAACATTAATACTGTACGCACAGCAGTTGCCTATTATGTTTTGTAAAGATGGAAAGTTCTCTTGGCAGTAATCAGGTGCTTATACCTTATGGTCACAATGACACAAGGAGAAATCGGACAGATAGAAATCGCAGACCTAGAATTTAGATGGGAGTGGGACCAAAAAACAATTCCCCACAATGAGCGATAATCCACCCACACAAAATTCATATAACAACGAAACAATAACATTTTTACAAATTAGATAGGAATGATAAATTAATAGTTACGGTAATTATGAATTGTTAATTTGTGTAATTTTCCCTCTAAAATTATACATATCAATATGGAGCATTCTTATAAACAACAGACATGTCTCACAAAAAATCATTCAGTAATGGGTTTCTTCGAAAATTACTAATAGGAAATAGATTGGTAAAAATAATAAACCACAGACTAAATAAATAGGACAGTGGAACACAATATTTGTTTTTTATAGATTCATCTTTCAGAATTAAGATCATAATTTTATGTGTCACACTGAACAGTACATGTAAACTCTACACTGGTTACCATTACCAAGCCTTACCAAACTAGCCGTGTGGCTATACAGAGCCATTATGTATATATTATAAGCAAGGTTAACAGAGGATGTGCTATAAGATATTTTTGAGAATACTATGTTTTAATGTTGGGTATATTTGGATATATCCTAACAACTATTACTAGTTCAGAATCTATAATATGGACTACTTTCCCTATGTTTGTAATTGTTATATTTGAATTTCAAAGCAAGAGCCTTTGCTGAGCATTTGCATTAAATTTCCAAGGCCACCAAATTTTGTTATCTTCCTAGGTCTTCATAATCAGGTATGAAACCATTTAGTACCATAGACAAAATTCTTGAAAAAACAGGTAACAGTTATCGTTAGGAACATCTGTAATAAGGCCCATTTTTGATATTTTAACCAGGATAACTACTAGAAAAGCAGTGTTTAAAGACTATAAAGAGCAGAGAAACATTACCAATAAAAGGTATAGAATCTTTTCTATGAGAAGAAGGAAGTTGAGAAGATGAAGGTGGAGTTGTATTGCACTGTTGAGAAGCTACAGGTTCTATATTGCCTTGAGAAGTCGAAGAACAAAGCCTCTGTCGAGCAAGCGCCATTGTCTGTCAGATCATCGAGAAAAGGTTATATTCATCAAAAATGGCAAAGTTTTTCAAACTTGCTACAAGAACACAAGCAGTGGTCAAGCAATGGTAATGGTCTCCCACAGGTTCATCCACACTACTCAAAAGACTCGCCATGCCAAAATTATTAGTAGTTGGCCTTCACTCGTGAAAGAGCATAAAGCAAGAAAAAACAAAATTTTGTCGATCGTTGATGTTCACTGAGATGATGTGATTGAGCGCAACATGCTGATGGTATATTCATTCACTGAATATGATAATTCACCATGAAACTTTAGCTAAGACACAATAACACAACGAGCACTTGACGACTGCAGGCTAACTAGGATTAACAAACAGTACGGCAGTGGCATGAAGATGAAAGCACCAATTTTAAGATTCCAGAAAAAAGAAAAGAAATTTTTTCGGAGAGTACATTTTGATGATATCATCTAAAAGAGGATGATTGCTAGTATTCAAGAAAAAAATATTCAAGAAGACGTTCGACTTAGAAAGTTAAGTTAAGAAATAGCAAATAATTAAGAACTTTTACTTCGAATTACAGTTCACAACAAAATCATGCATCATATATTTAAGTAACGATGATGTTTTGCCTCCACTGGGATGGAATACCAGTAAGTCTTTCTTTAAATGAATCAAAACTTGAAATAAATGGGATGTGTTTAGAGATGGGCAATATAGAATAATTCACTATTCTAGAATAATTAAATCGAATCCAGAATACTATTCTATTTTTATTGATATTCATCCCATCACATTCATGGACCATAATTTAAAAAAAGCAAAGATGTGAATGTACTTACTACCTTGTATTTAATTGAAAATACCCTGAGCATTGGATTTTATTTGTTACCAAACAGGACAATGAAATTTAACAAATTACTTTTTGCCTTGAATTGTTAATAATCCATAAATACGTTCATGTTTAAAAAGCGCATTATACACTTAAATACTAAATTATGAAATACAAAAAATAGGTAGGGAAAATTATAATTAATGTGATATAGTCGGAAACACACAGGCCAGGTCGAGGCCACTGCAATTTATGCAGCCGCAACAGGTATTTGGTAGGGCGTGATAATCAATGTTGTAAAATAAATATAACGACTATCAATTATAATCAAAAGTCTGTGAGCGTGTTTATATTCTGCGAGCAAGACTTGTAAAATAACATCTATGGACAAATTCATTACTATTACAAAATCTAAATTTTCCCTTATTATCGTTATATATCTACCCAGACATAAAATTTGATTTAAATTATTCGCAAATGATGTTTTAACATCTACCGTCTGGTATACACCATTTTCCAGGAGAACTCGAAGGCCGCAAAAAGTCCTTCAATTTAAAATAAAGAATGTTTCATGTATTCCAAAATTTGAAAGTGTTGCAATCAGGTAATCGAAAAATCGCCAGTCGGCACCAATAATAATTACTATCATAAGCGAACTAGATAGCAAAATTGTAAAACACAAAAATGGTGCAATAACGCCACCTTCGCATTCTCAATATGCAAGCTGGCATTATGGTGTTTGATGTCTGACGCTTTTGCGGGTTGTTTGCGAGACAACACGAGTATAATCAAGCTAAAGAGAGATTTCGTCATGACAGAAAACCTTCGTTGCTGATCAATGAATTAGAAATCCGAAATACAAAAAACAGGAACCAAATCCTGTTGTCGGATCTTTTTGGATTCGGTATTCTATATTGCCCATTCCTAGATGTGTTGTTAGTTGTCTATAAATTACCAAATACAGTGACTGATAAGTGATCTCCTTTGCATACAATGTTATGAAGTTGTGTGGCTGACATTCATGAATCGCAATCTACGAGTATGTAAGGATGGTGGTGGATATAGTGCATAAGTTGTTGTATTTTACTATTTCATGTAACACCAGACAAATCATGCTTTGAAAACAGAATAGAAATGACAAAATATTTTAAACATGCCTGTTCCACCATTCATTCTGTGATAATAATTTAATAATACTGACTGACTGCATGGCAGGAAGATGCAATACAGGAAAATTTACAAACATTCTAAATATTTACATTAGTGTTTGAAGCAGCTGATCCTTGTTGAAAAGCCTGTACGACGTCCATCTGTACAATATTGTTAGAACTTGTTATTTCACCAAGCCCAAAAGTTAATAAGATTAAGGAAATTAGAAGCCAATAATTAATTGCAGGCAGTTAAAACTTTGGTGATTTTTTTTAGATATACTAGGCCAGAGCTGAATCGAGACCTACAAAAAAAGTATGTGAATTCGACAGTACTAAAATTTTTTTAATTTTTTTTAGTATGAATTCTATGAAATCCACTACTTTTTATTGTACAATATTGTACTGTACTTAATCATAAAGTTTTCAAACTATATCTACAATCATATACCGAGAGGATAATATTTAAATGGCATTGGTATGCTGTGTTCCTCGACAGCCGCACTGTTTGATCGTTTTGTTAAAATCGTATTGATAAAATTCATATAATGGGTCGGAAAAGTAAAGGCAGAAGACGATAGGAAAAGATACAGGTATAGAAAAATAATATTATGTGATATAAGGTTCGAAATATGGAATAAACAAAATAAATAGCTTTATATGTTGTCGACAATCCTATTAATTAACAATAACCAAAAAGAAGAGAATACTATGGTATTGATATTTAAAAGAGAAATGAAATTTCATTGATAAAAAACTTCTTAAGCTGGGCGATGGCTCAAAGACATTGTAACTAAGATTAAAGATTGCAGCCGCTGATATAGATGAAACGTAGGGCTGCAATGTTTCAGTTCTGGAATAGCCTACACAATAAATAAACTCTGTGCTTTCAGTGAGGGGTGAATAAAAAAGGTACATAAAAATGGTAGATATGGATTTTTATGTACCTCACAACATAGTACATACAATTAAAGCAACAAACATCAATTTAATCATTATATTATTACTTTTATACAATCCAGCACTGTTTATTGCAGTGATTCTATATTTCTAATTGAATAATCAAATCTTCATATTGTGAGCTGGCATAGAACACAAATTTGAGCAGTACCAATTATATTATATATATATGATTTTCACATGGCTTTATCCTCAAAAAGTTTTATTAATAGAACAGCATTGACACAATTTGACAGTCGAGCAAAATAACTTCACTTGTAAAGTCAAGATTTTATTATTTTTAAGCAGTTCGAATATTTATATATGTATATAAATAGACAGAATAAGATTAATCAGTAGAAAAAATCTTCAAATTTATTCCATGTCATTTTCATATGTTAGAAAACTATAATCGCCTCAAGTGATAGATCAGAAAGATTGCTGAATTCAAAGTAGCCTTCAATCAAATATTTTATGATAATCAAACAAATTTTGATCATATTACATACGGAAGATCCTAAACACTAACATATAATCGTCTATGATGCTTATTCAATCTATCTGTAAACCTTGTACAACTTATCCTTATCATAAATAATTTGAACTGATAAACAGCTCCATCAAAAATCCGAATCAAATCACTCACTTAATAAAAATGCTTATTACTTCTGAAAAACAACCTTACATAAGTCTAATGCAAACTAAACTTTATTCTTTAGACTCACTATACTTTCTACTTCTACTAACAAAGACAAAAAAGTACTACCTAAAAAATAAAACTAAATCTTCTGTAACTAAAATCTCAAAAAAATTTATTTCTCTTCTTCATTCTCTTCTTGTATAGGAGTAGCATGAGCTGAATGATGATGTAACAATGGTGCAAATTGTTTTCTTTCCTCTGCACTAAGATCATGAAGAGATCTGTAATGATGATCCTGCTCTCTCTTTGTCTTAATCTAGATTGAAGGAAGAATAGATGAAAAACAAATAACGTAAATCTCATTTGTGCTCATTTATTTACTACAACTGTTTATACGCCCTTCGCCTCAAACGAGACTTCGCATAAGCAACTGCTTGGTAAGAAGCTTCTACAGTTTGAAAGAACCTGATTCTTTACAGCTAAACATCACCTATTCAATTTATTACATTCTGAGTGAGGTGGGCATGGGATTTGAACTCAAGATTTGAAATTGCGTTGTCATCACAGTTAGGTCTTATGCTTTAAAAATTGGGCTGCTGCTTTATTAAAAATACTAATGTGCAGGCAAACTGTAGAATACTGAAACTATTTCCTGACCACATCAAGCATTCCAGTCAATCTCACTGAACTCAATTTTTTAGAATTATGTTATTGTATTTCAATTGAAGACAGAACATTCCCATTATAATGAGCTAGCTAACTTTGCTAAATAACTGCTGAATAACAATTCTATACAAAATCTTCAACTTGCAAAACTGATTATAAACAAATTTTTTTTTCTTAAATTCTTAATATGAATATTACTTCTGTCATACTGTGCAATTATACTCATATTGCACAAATTTGAAAACCTTATCTATGATCAGTCACAGGATAATTTATATCAAATTTGACTAGTTAAAAATTGACAATATCATCATATTGTTGCATATGCGCCACAATACGAAACTAAGAAACACAAAGTTTATTTCCTCAAAACTAAAAATTTCTATAAATATTAAGTCCCTTTAAGTACGAACAAATATAATATTTAAGTCAAAATCCCAACACACTATATCGCCGGATGAGAACAGAACAGGCCTAAGTCACAATTTTGAGTTTTGAGAAAAACGCAAAAAACAATTTGGAATTTTTTTATTTTCGAATTTCTAGATATTCACACTTAGTAAAGTCCTGAGCTCTGGTTATTTTAATGTGGATAAGAATATCTTTGTAATCAATATTTTTTGGCACTCAGCTTCAATTCCTTCCTGCTTTTTTAACCCCATAAGAAACTTTGGCCCATTCTGTTCTCAACAACTTCTGAAATTTTTTGTATGGGATGCAAGGTAAAACAAGGTGACTTAGGCCTAAGTTGCACTGAACAAATTTTTAGGGATGTAAGTTTCGGACATTTCATTTCTGATGTTCATGGCCATCATATTGGAACTTAGGACTATCTTTTTTCAATATTTTGGGGTTTTGAGCCATGCTCTACAAGGTGGTGGTCTTGAAATCCTGAATTTCCCAATAATAAAAATTTTAGCTGGACTTAGGCCCATTCTGTTCTGGAATATTTTAGGCCTAAGTCCAGCTAAAATTTTTATTATTGAGAAATTCAGGATTTCAAGACCACCACCTTGTAGAGCATGGCTCAAAACCCCAAAATGTTGAAAAAAGTCAATTTTCCAAAAATGTGACTTAGGCCCCTTCTGTTCTCATCCGGCGATATTTAGACCAGGCTAAAAGAAAACATGAACAAACCTGTTGCTGTATTCTGTTGAGACCACGGAACCACAAGATCTGACCACGAGACTTCAATTGTTGATCACCAAACTCTTCCAAAATGTCTTCTTTCTCACCAAGGTCTGGATCAACTTCTGGTTCAGATTTACCAATCTGGTGGAAAAATTCATTGAATAATTATTTGTGTGAAATCCTCCTTCGAGTTTTGAGTATGGTGTGTAAGCCATGAAGCTTGATACCATTCTATTACTCACAAGAGGAGTTATCTGCCATATCTAACTTGGGTACACTTTTACCAAGCGAATTGGGAGACAGAATTTCAGACTTTTAATGATGAAATTCAAAAGTAAAATTTGCAGTAGTAACTTAAGAGCAAGACTGCATGCGATAAAGTCAAAATTTCCTTCAGACTGGAGACAAGATCAAGAGGTATGGTATATTTCTGTGAATTACCATTTGCTTTTTTAATGGCTCAGAAATGGTGTAAGCTGTGCATCTAACTGTATTCAGAGTTTGGGCAACTACAGTTTATTTATACTTTATTTTTATTAAGCCCTCATTTTCAAAATAAAGAAGTCCTCACTATTGAGGAAATGACTTGCAGTGCAAGCCATGAATGCACCATAACATATAATTGATACATACCGTCATGCACTTCGGTAATTTCTTGTTAGGTATTGTCGCAATCACTTGTCCCCAGAGTAATTCACTAATTCCGATGAAAATACACCATAACCACTGAGCTAGGGATAACGGTGCACAGCTGAATGCAGGTCCGCCAAATTGTACAATGACAAACTGTAAAATAAATTAGTTAAAGTTATTCCAACCAAATTCCACTAATGTATGTAAAATTTTTAACTGTATTATTTAACATAAAACTGTATTATTTAACATATAAATGGATATCATATACTGCAATAACTGGATCAAGTAATTTAGTATTCGGAAATTCATCATCCCTTTAAATTTTAATTATGAATCAAACATTATCCATTTCGAAACCAAAATAAAAATTTAAAAAAAAATGTTATTCCAAATTTCAAATAACAGAATTAAAAAAAAAAATCTATTCCAAAAGCAGTTCTAACAGAATTTATAAAAGATCTCTCTCAGTGTGATTACTACGTTTAACAATAATTGCCTCTCTGCCTTTGCTTCACTATTTATTGATTGACGATTTAAATTTTAATAAGAATTATATTTACCGATTGAATATAATTACAATACCTGTACAATTATGGTTCCTATTATAATAGCAACGAAGATTGGATTTGTGAACATTCCAGAAAAGACGTCTCTTTCACCATGAATTTTTCGGGCGTTTATTTCGTTGAATATTTGCATGAGTACGAATGTGTTGAAAATGATGGTAAAGTGTACACTTGGTGGAGCATGAAGTTGCGCTGTACGTCCATTGTCAATGTCAAATATTAATTCACCTGAAAAGACAAATCAAAAAATGTATAAAAAAAAAAATTACAAAGATGATAAATACGAAAAAGCTTTAGCTACAAAAATAACCAGACTAAAAGAAAACCATTTATAATCTATAAATTGAGAAATTTTATATCAGAGATGTCCATAAAACGAATGAGTGCATTCAAAATTGTTTATATTCGATATAATTACTACTTAATTTAGGAATGATTTGGAATAGCTTTGTTCGAATATTTGTCAAATTACCAATTCAACATTCGAGGGTCAGACAAAATTAGACTCATAGATAGAGAATATCAGTTTATCTTAAACATTCTTCATTACCAGATAAATTTTTCATGAATTTAAAATAGTTTCCCAAATTTTAATGTAAAACAAGAAAAATATTTAGATATTGAAAATATATCCGATATTGCTTATTCAAAAACATCGTTTCAGAATGTATTCGGAATAGAGAATTATTCGATTTTGGCTATACATAAGTAGAACTTATATGATCAATATGCTGTAAATTCAATTTCAAATACATAGAAGAGGTGATGAAGCCATTTACCAAAAACTCAGGTTACATAGTACCTTAACGAAGAAAAGTACTTGGATAACCTTTCGTATACCACTATGATGAATATTGACATGACATGATTGCATAACACTCCTCTTATATATGTATTAGTTAAATAGGAATTATTACCATTGGGAATACCACGGATCTCGAAGCAATGTTGTCATATATAATGTATTGGAACAATTGCGCAATATAGCCAAGAATATGAGTTACTAATATTTAGGAAAAGGCAATACAAAAACCAGCATGGGGAAATGATATGCCATGGGTTTTAAAATCAATTCATGACCAAACAAACACACTAAATATAGATGACCTATATCAAAATATGATTTTCCAAAATGCTTCCCTGTACTAGTTTAGACAGCATTCATAGATATGAGTATATTGAAATAGAATGATATTTTGGATTTCGAATTCAGAAAATTTTATTAGTTCAATTTTCAGCAAAATTGTTATAAATGGCAAATTTTGCCGAAAGAAATGTTCGAATGTTAAGTAAATGAAAAAATATAAACTTCAATAACAAAATTTTTACGCGATACTGATTTTGAATTGATTTAAACAAAATTAGTTATACGTCTCCAACTACCATCTTCCATCATCAATATTAATTCTTTTCAATTCCACAGGGACGATTTCCCTTGAAATTTCCTGACAATTATATTTGAAACTGGCTCTAATTTTCGTATTATGTCTGTAACTGAAATCAGTCTGAACTAAATTGATTGTCCTCAATTACATATAAATATACTATAAAAAATAGACTACTGTATTCAACAGACCATAAGGCACAAGCAATGTTTTATATTGCACACTGTCAATTATTTGCTCAGATTTATTCACACTTTTTAATACCTGTACTATTTTAGAGTGTGGGTAATAAAGCATAAGGCACTACCTGATTCATAAATTAGGCGTACCGGCTGAAAGGCTTAAAATTGATTTTTGAGAAAAAAAGGGGGATTTGAAGTGTGCATTATGGTCAGTAAAATATGATACCTATAAGATATTACAGTTCATATTCAATTATACTTTAAACTAAGCACCCAAACGTTCTTTTACTTACCTAATTTAAATCGGGACTTTACAAACACCTTGTATTATATATATCACAACAACACTTGAAGACAAAAACTTACCACCAAACAGTAACCCGAAAATGATGATCATTTGGTAGAAAGCGTGTCCGAGGATATTTTTCATCATGGTTCTAGATACGAGTGCCTTGTTTCTTCCATAAGGTTTACGATTGAGCAAGGCATCAGTTGGTTGTTCTGTAGCGAGAGCAAGTGCAGCAAACGTGTCCATAATCAGATTAACCCATAACATTTGTACGGCTTTCAATGGAGTGTCCTGGAATAAAAATTTAGTGTATTATCAGTGAACTGTACTGTTGAGTGATATCACAAAAAAATCATCATGACTCGTCGGCCGCGGTTTGGGAATCCTGTCATTAAAAAACATTATGAATTATACAATATTTTCTCTTGCATTTGCTTCTACAGTAGTTCGTTTGAAAAATTTATTACATAATAAACCACATGCAATAACCAGAATTATTAGCATTGACGTTTCCAATAGTTTGGATTTTGTCAATATATTAAAGTCAGTAAAAATGGTTATTGGAGTTTGAGTCAATGATAAAGTATGTTGATGAAGCCCGTTCCGTCAATGACCCAAGCTTGACAGGAGCATGTTCTAATTTAAAAAGAGCATCATAAAGTTCCAAATATTACTAATTTAAAATCCTAATATGGGTCTTCTTTATGTCTAACCAAGTTTTGATAATACTCGTGGGTCTTATATTTGTTATTAACATCAGCCGATGTAATTTGTGAGTTCAATAAATTTAAATTAAGAGGAAAATCTTCAATAATTTGATTTTGTTGCAATATGAATATAGCTAATATGATAATACAAGATTTTTTGAGTTGTAATTGAGAATATAGACTGTAGCTTGAAAATAAATCAGTCACGCAATGTATGACCACTTGACATTCTAACAAAGCCACAGGTGAATGGCCACCTATTTTAAGTTCTACATAGTATAAGAAATAAGTGCAAGTTCTGTAATTTTTTTGAGCACAACTTATCGTGGTTTCCCATATTTACGTTCCAATAAATACCCTCAAGATTAGACATCACTAACAAAAACTGAACCGCAATCGAAATATGTTTAGGTCATTTTTGTTAAAAAAAATTTGAGGTGGCACATTAAGTGTCAACAATGGCGATTGGCAAAATTGAAACATTTCAATATATTTAAGGCAATGGGTACAGGCTGTTTACCTTCACATACATATGAAAAAAATATTATTATATCGAAATATTTTTGCCACCTTTGATAAGAAAAATGGTTTTAAAGACGCAGAAACCAAATAAATATTATATCAGTAATGATAGTTTGTTGGTTAAAAAAACTATGGAATACAACAAATTTCAGTTATCGTGAATTTTGAAGATAGATATAAGTTTTGAAAACATAGAAAACCTACATTGATAGCACAAGCACCGACGAATGCAACTGTTACAGCTACAACGTTAACAGTAAGCTGAAACTGTAAGAACTTAGCAATGCTGTCATATACGTTTCGTCCCCACATTACTGCTTTTACGATTGATGTAAAATTGTCATCAGTTAGAATAATATCGGAAGCTTCTTTTGCAACGTCAGTTCCAGCAATACCCTGAAGTCAAAAATAAATTACACTAAAATTGTGAAGTGAGGTTAGCAATTAATGAACGATTGAGACTGGGTGTTTTATGGCATAAAAATATAAAAATAGCACTAGTGCAACTACTGCACTAAAATTTTTTTTAGACAATTCACTTTAGGAGAGCTTCACAGGCATTCAAAATTATTTCTTTATATGATGCTTATTCACAATGTCTCTCTGAACAAGGACCTATGCAACTAGCCACTGATGTTTAACTAAATCTTAGGAGCTACTCTTATTTGAATCTTTTCCTGTTCGGCATTGCCTACCCAATTCATTACATGCTGGGTGAAGGTGGACACGAGATTTGAGCCTGAGATGTGTAATCAGCTAAGTTATAAATACAGTTAAGTCAAAAACTCCCCAATTTTTAGGCCATAATGCTGCCATTTCATGCGATAGAGAATCTTTAATCTATATTCACTATTGCGAAGAACTAGCAATCCGAATATCAATATCTGGCAACATAAACATAATTGAGAGCCAAAAAGCATTGCGATATTGGAAATTCCTTGTATCCATGATTCATACCATAGCAAATCCGACATCAGCCTTTTTCAGTGCAGGACCATCATTTGTGCCATCTCCAGTTACAGCAACAACTTCTCTGTTTGCAGATACTGTACTATCAATGATTCCTTTAACAAGCGTGTGCTTATCGGTGGGTGATGATCTTGCAAGTACACGAAGTCTGGGCCAAACGTTGTCTAATCTTTCTTGTTCAATCTAAAATAGAATACCGCAATACAGATTTGCATTTGTCTTTTAGATACAGCGTTTTCATGTCTCCAATCTAAAAAGCTTCTGTAATAGCGGTGATTGATACAAAATTTTTCTAGATTCCTCATTGCCTTCTCAATTTATTACATCTTGGGTGGGTTGTTAAATATGGGGTTTAAACAAAAAATCTGTATAGCCTATACTGTTGGGTCCAACACTCTAACTCAATGTTTGGAATTCCTCCTGAAGAAAAAATTTGAATGTATTTGGTAAGGAAAGTTTACTTCATATACTTTACATTGCATGTACTTTTTCTGATATTTCACAACAGCAAGACAACAAGTTACACAGATCGCAAGCGGAAGTTACGTTGAAAATTGAATAACATATGCAATAAAAGCTCTTATGTGTAGTGGGGGAGGAATAAGGAGCTTAATAATAAATTAAGGGAAGAATGTGTTAAAATAGGTTAGAAACTACTGCTCTAACAACTACTATGTCCCATCTATCCTTTAAGTAGCTATCAAAATAGGTTGTTATACAATAACTACATTCCAAATTTTATGAATGCTGCAATAGACTGGGGAAATGAACTTCTTTAGAAAACACCTTACCTCTCCCTTTGAATTGCGGATTCGTTTGTTAAATTCTTTTCCATCGAGCACAAGTATGTCATCACCAGGTTTAATGATTCCACATTTGGAGGCGATCGATCTTGCTGTATTGATATTGTCACCAGTAACCATACGAACAGTAATTCCAGCACGTTGACATTTTTTGATAGCGTCAGGTACCTAGAATAATGTAGTTGAATGAGAATGTGCAAACTAAAAACTGAAATTTTATTCACTGACAATATCTGATAGTGTTTCAAGTTTCATTTGAAAAACGCTAATGATAATATTTAAGAATTTTCATTTCAATATCATCTTTTTTTTTTTTAATTCATTCTAACAATATTCCAGGCAGATTTTGAACAATCTTACTAGTTTCCTAGTTCAAGTTAATCCTAATAAAAACAGAATCCCATGAGAAATACGATCAAACAATATTAAATATAAATATTGAAATTGATTTCAATTGTTTGTCCACAAGGGAACAACAAACTATATTAAATTTAGAATGAAAAATGAAAGTGACAATAAATCGAATCAATACGAGAAAGAATTGATTGATTTATCATAAAATATATTAGAAATATAATCAAATTAATTTATTCTGCTCTGTGGCTTCGTCCCACAAAACAAAACACTGATGTGGGGAACAAGATGAAATGTTAAAAATCTTTCTAATCAGTAGTAAATAATTCAGATCAAGAATTTTAGTCAATTCAAAAATCTTACATTAAAAATTCAGCACATTTTCATTTTATTCAACTAAATTAAGCTTTATACAATAAATAAATTGGAATTATTCACATTACAGTTTGTAGTGAATCAGATATGGGAGTACTTTTTAAACACAGTCCAGTATTCCTTGGAAGGAAGTGATTTATTTATACACTTACTGAGATGAAAGATTCCCAATGATATTACTTTTTCATTGACAAGATTCAAGATTTTATTTGGGAATATAATTATCCTATGAAACATATGGACTACCTACCTAATGAGTTTATCGCTTACAAGGGGAAGCTTAAAACAGCATGTAATGACTCATGTTCCTTACATGTAGCATGCATATTCCTAACCATTTACTACCCAAATAAAACCCATTATGAGTGTCCCAAATTTAGAAACAGGGAAGGATATAATTATGGCCTAAAATAGCAATTTTCTCCGACACAAAGGATATTAGGCTGCTATATAAAATGTCCGCTTTATTTTTAGGGCAGGTACATAATGCTGCCAATAGACAATCCCCAACAGTATTATTATTTATAACTTATACCTCTGGCCTGACTGGATCTTCAATTCCGACGACACCAATAAGCGTCAAGTTGGAGACGACTGTATTTTCTTGTTCCCAATCAGGTAGTCCATCGGATGTAAAATTTCTATAAGCAAGTCCGATTGTCCTGAGTCCATCACTGGCCATCGACTCAATAACATTAGTGATAAGAGATTGTCGTTCCATGGCAGTGAATTTACGAGCGCTTCCGTCATCTCCAAGAATGTGTGAGCATCTGATATTTAGATTAAACTAATGTTAGAAAAAAGAACTAAGTAACAATAATAGAAGTATAGATAACATGAAGAAGGATTAAATTATTACTTCTTCAGAATAATTTCTGATGCTCCCTTGGTATATAATCTGTATCCATTGTCATCAGCAGGTATAACAGTACTCATTGACTTACGTGTGGAATTGAAAGTATAAACCTAGAATAGAAAAAAATATTCATTGAATGCTCATTTCCTATTACGCAGTAGTTATTTAAATTTTGCATTTTGTCACGAAAGCTAATTTAACTTTAACCAATTTATTTATAATAAAAAATCACTGAAAATAAAATATTTCCTTTAGATGTATAGCCTAATTAAAAGGTCAGATGTTAAATTTATTCCAGAAAAATTTATCTCAAAGATTTATTTGCCATCTTTTTAACAAACTTCTTAAAACCCACATAAATTCAATTACGTACAACAGGGAATACTTTTATTTACCTCATGCTGGTTTGAAAATCAGTTTTTAAATCATTCTGTTCACAGCGGCCAAGTATTTAGAGCATTGGATCTAACTGAGTTGACGCTGCAGGTCAAAAAAATTTAAGCTAATGCCTACCTAACCCAGAGTGCAATAGATTAGACAGCTTCTAGAATTTCTAAAATAGGGGGAGTAAAAAAAATTAACTTAGATATCTACCGATATCACGCATATATATTCACAAATGAATATACAATGAATCACAATTCATATGTATGGAAAATAAATCTTCATTGTACTAAATAAATCTTGATGTTACTGAATAACAAGTTATTCGCGTCAATAAAATCTAAAATATCGTGAATTTTTATAAAGGGACAACCTTGCCTACTATTTCAAGCCAATTCATTTCAAATTCCCAAGGGAGGTACATTTAAAATTTTAATGCAAATGGTTGGAAAAGTACTCAATTTGAAATTTTCAGAGTTCACTGATAAGGGAATAGATAAGGGTTAAAACAGAAGCAAAATGAAAATTTTAGAATGAATATATCTTAAAAATAGGGAACTTGCGTTATGCATGTAAAATTCAGTTCCCGAATCTTATGTTAAGAATTACCTAAGATATTTGGAATGTATTGATTCTAATGACAAAGGTATAAATAAACCTCACACTAACAATAATAAGCAATTGAATATTTTTTAACTATTTGTAATATGGGGGATTTGGCGATCAGAAATTAGCTCATAGATGCAAGATCAGCAATAAAACACATAGACACATGTGTAAAGCAAGAATATCTAAATAATTTATCCCAAACAAAAGTTGACAATCAATCAATTTTGAAGCCTAAAAGCAAAAAAAATTTTCTCGTCTCATGGAAACTTTTCTTACAATGATTTATGATTTAACACCTGTATAAATAATTTCATATAACCGCACAAAAATTTGCTTTCTAAATGTACCATTGTGATAAAGTCACATTTCGTAGTTAATTTCAATAAGTGGCGTCATCAGACTAAGAATGGCCTATAAATTATGTAAAATTGGACCGGTAATGGTATTTGCAATGAAATCGAGAGCAGTTTATGTATTGCCAAAAATTTAAAATCAGACATGATCGAAAGTAGAAATTAAAACTATCTCATAAAATTTTCAAAGAATAATAGGTAATAACAAATAAGAAAGGGGTTATGGCTAAGGGAAAAATGCCACCAACGTTTATATTGAGCAAATACGATAGTAAAACCTGAGTAAACATTCTTGGGATATATTGTAATAACTTATTCATTGTGTAAATATTATAAGTCAAACTAACATCACATCTATTCACAAAGTACTGCATCATCCTGACAATAAATATAGAAAAAAAAGGTTTTTGGGGCGTGTTGTTCTGAAATTCAACAAAGAGAAAGAAAAGAAAAAAGGGAAAGCAGATTTCCTTGTATTTACTCATCCCTAATCTACCTCAAAATTTTGAAGCAATATCATCAATGATGAACAATTATGTAGTAGATAAATACTTGCCATACTGGCTGACAAAAACCATGCCATTCATTATCACGGTCAAATTTATCAACAATAAATACCTTGAATAGTTTCTCTTCTGTGATTTCATCTCTGACAGATTGATAATGGCGTCCCATTGCTTCAACGAAACCAAGTAGAGCACATTCAGTCTTGTTACCGACTTGTGCGGGCTGTCCACCTTCCTTTTCTGGGGGCTGTAACAGCAGACATACATTAATAACCAATATTATTAACTTTGAACTTCTCAGTGACTAGTTGTTAGACAATTTGGGTATCTCAAAAAAGAATCGAATACTTTTAAATTCAGTCAGACAAGCAGATCAAACATGATATCTCTACTGTTAACAAACAATACAATAAAATAACTCTTTTATTTATGTTGTTTGAGATATGATAAACATAAAGATATAGCATTTTATGTAATTTTCTACATGAAATTGCCCTCAATTTAAATTGTATTCAATACTCAATAATATTTTCTTAGAATGTAATTGGAATAGTGAAATATTCCTTTTCGGCCATCCCTGTCTTGATTTTCAAATAATCGATATAAACATACCACAATCTTAGAAGTATATCCACTGTTGACAGAAATTCCTGTGATCAAAAGTTCCACTATATTTGATGGCAGCATTTCGGGAGTTGGTATGTATTCTCTATGATGTTTACCAGCGGAATAGACTTGTACTACCGTCATTCTGTTCGTTGTTAGGGTACCTGAAGCAACAATGTAAATGGCAAATGCAAGATAAGCTATGATTATAAGAAGTTACTAATATTAGAAAATATAAATTGAATGCTAGCCACATTCAAAAAGGTATAATATTATTGGGCTAACAAAAAAAAGTGAAAAACCTAGACCAAACACAATATAATGCTAACAAATACCTCCATTATTGTCTTTTTCAGTATCCATCATTATCATGATTAACTAACACTATAAAATGATTGAAGTAAGCTGAATTAACCTGTTTTATCAGAGCAGATAGCAGTTGCATTTCCCATAGTTTCGCAAGCATCAAGATGACGTACCAAATTATTATCCTTCATCATTTTCTACAAAATAATAGTTCAAATAAAAATTATATTTAGTGGAAAAAATTATTACCGTAAACTACTCAAAGAAATGCAGCACTATAGCTAAAAACATGATCTGCTGCAATCTTGCAATATTTTTGTTATATTTAACTACTATAATAATACATTTCTTATATTCAAATTTGGAAAGTATTTTTGACATGAACTTCCCTTTGTAATTAATATCAATGCCAAAATCAAGACGACTGAAAAAACCGATGAACGTTTTTTTGTTACATTACATCATCTACTAATTACAAAAAATAAACCATTTTTATATCATAGGTAAAATGACCATGGGCGCCATTCGCCAAACTTCTTTATCGATTAACGTGTTAGTTAAGCACCCACTTTCTCGTAAAAGGCAAAAATGGTATTCTCAAAGTATCGTTAATATTCGAGAGAAATTATTCGAAAGAATTTTTTGCGCGCAAAAACAGACGTCTCGTAAAGTGCCTTCTCTCATTTTACCGAGAATCGATATTCACGAAAGTTCTTTAACGCAACGGAGTGCTCGCAAACTAACGAGGGGAAAATTTTGCTCGTTAACAGTAGTTCGGCAAGTTCTTAGCATGAATTCAGGTTAAAATGTATGTGTGTTTATTTGTAACATTATCTACATAATAATTAAACGTTATAACTAAGACGGGATACATGTATGAGACGGGAGACAAGTACGTGCCACATGCACCCCAACAAATGCTGTGGTGTTTGCATACTTCGTGAAAAATTGGTATCAAAAATCTATAAATGCCTAACTTAGGTGTAGGAGTGACTGTAGTCTAGTAGCTGTGGACCCACCTATGTATGCCAACTAACAGCGTACTAACATTCATTCATCTATTTTATTGTCGGTCACAGAAGTAGTTCACAATATGTAGGCCTACTCCAGCATTTATATCATATATCCATAGATTACCGCTATATGACCCAAATTTTAAAACACAGTCTGTAAACAGGGAAACCCTACAGGTCGTCGCAAAATGAGCTTGTCCGCTCAGGGCGGCTAGCGGCAGTGACTGATACGGTTGAGAGATCATACAGTGGTTTTTGTTCAACGACGACCGTGCGTTAGATTTCGAGAGAACTTGCGTGACCGTGCGTAAAGTTTTACGAGATGTTTCGTGAATCGCACTTAACGAGATTTCGTAACTGCATTTTTGAGAGACAAGGTTACGTGCTCGTAAACGAGGCTTTTTACGAAGTTTGGTGAATGGGGCCCCAGATAACACCAGAATGCAGAGTAAAGTACCTTCACTGAGAAAGCTAGAGACATTGTAACAGCAAGTGGTAGACCTTCTGGAACAGCAACGACAAGAACAGTGACTCCAATAATGAAGAACTTGACAAAATATTGAACATAGAGAGCAGTACATCTAGACTCCCATGATTTGCCACCAATAGCAAAAACTTGAATGCAGAAGATTATGATCAGAATTAAAACTGTCATCACAGCAACAATAAAACCTAAAATAGAAGTTGATAGAGATAAGTAAGTATATTCCGAAATCTTAAAATATTACTATAAATATAAGTCATGTTAATAACTGGGAAAGTAATTAAGAAACAGGTCAAAGTCAGCAATAGTTATTGATTATCAGTGTGCCATAGAATACATACCGGTAATAGCATGCTTCTTGTGGGTAGCAATTTGTGTATTCCAAAATTTAAAATATGGAAATATTCATACAAAATTGAAGGGTAACTAGTATATAATTGTACCTATCTAAAACAAGTGTCTTGCAATTACTATGTCATATTTGAAATGATCAATATAAATACTACAGTTTCAATGCAGATAACAATTACATGACTGTTCACCATGAAAAAAACATATTAACGATCTGGTGAGAAAATTTACATTCGATGGTTTTTGTAACATGAATCCCTATAATGATGCATTCCTATTTAGGAAATAATTTATCTCAAATTATAGATGAAACTTAAGAGACTATAGAAGGATTCATTTCCTATTTTACATTGATATCTGATATTAGTTTTTCCAAGAGGGCATGCCATCATGATTTGTTAGCAACTTATTGGACAGATGTTTCAGATCAGTTGCAATCAGTGCCAGTTGTTTTATTACACAAACAGGTGACATGATTAAGTGTTCTTTTTTTATTGTAATTTTGATTTCCCTTTCCCCTCATCACAATAGCATTGATTGGTTGATAAAGGAATGGAGATGGAGTTTGTCAATGCAAAGCAGCTTAAGTGACAGCAGTGAATATTCTATTTTATAATCCCCGCCTTTTGTAGATAATGAAAAATATTGATCTTCCATCCTTACTCTCCCCCTCAATACATATATCAATAAATCAATAGGTGAAAAATGGTATTCCAAATTTAGATGGACATATCATTACTTGATTTCCAATTACCACAAAGTTATTCATGGTCCAAGTATAAACATTAGATAAAACAAGTCTCAGTAACATCAGTAACATCAAATACAATACTTGGGGCAGCCTAATGCTGTTTGAATCTAAAGTTACAATAGTAAGTAGTGAAATCTTTCAGTGAGTCCCATAACAATTTCATTATTTGCCATTTAAAAAAAGGATATACCATAAAGACAACACTCTGAACTGTATGTATATGGAAAGTTTACAAAGGACTGAGGCGTGTCATATAATGTGAAAATGATATATAAATGATCATTTTTTTCGAATTATGTAAGCGGAATTTTGTATATTATTACGACCATGTCATGAATTGACTTACATTGCCATACCAAAATAGCATAGATTTTATCTGTTAGGTATGTAAACTGCCATTCCATGGTTAATAAGACTCGAATGTCAAACAATAAACATCCAATATTCAACGCAAGTACAGTACTAAAATGTCTATGAATCATATGTATTTTTATATTCAAGTCACTGATATTTATACATTTATAGCACGTGCCTTCCACACAAAAATGACTAACTTATAATTTCAATATTGAATACCACTCTGTCAGCTGGGAAAAGCTGATCAGGTCGAAAAAATTTATCCACAAATCATGCCCTAATGATGATATACCAGTTCATAGCTTTTTTTAGCAATGATAACTTTAAAAGATAAACTGGTTGTCATATGATTTGTCAGGTATAACATTACTACAACTGATGTAAATGCAAATTCTTCTGAAAATGGCAAGCCTGATGAAAGAAACAATTACTTGAATCAATTTTTAATTGTGAAGGCTATTGAATTATTCATAAATGGTAGGTTTTAACGACTACAGGTGGTGGTAGATTTCCTTGTTTAAAACTCGCAATTAGAAATGCTTATAATTATCACATAGTTCCATTTCCGTATTCCAAAATGTGTTTAGGCAATCCATTTACAAAATTAGAATTGTGGCAGAGAAACATATGTATGTAAAATCACACATGTGGTACATGTATAACTACTCTTCATAGAAAATCATGTCTTCACGATATGATTTTCAGTTAAAAAAATGTTGATAATTCAAATTTTAATAAGCATTCTGAATGGATATGTTATATGAATAATAAATGTAAACATTGTATAAATTTGATCTGAACCTTAAAGAATTTCTTTTTCAATCTTAAGTTATGAGGAAACGTCTACCATCTAAATATTTCAATAATCTTAATATTGGCTGAATGTATTTTTTGATGTGCGCAAACAATGACCTTAAATTTTGCCAAAAGTGATTCAACAACAATATATAAAATTAGCTCCACCCACACAGTTCAGCACATACTAAACAGTGCAAATTACGAGTGCTGGCAGCAAACTTATTAGTGGTATGGTGGATATGGATCATCTAAGATAACCTATTCAAGTTGGATATTATCCATTTAATAACTTTGAAACAAGCTTATATCCGATAAAAGAAATTTCATCCATGAAACTTTTAGGTTTGCTACAAAATAATATCTAAGGTAAAATTTCACAACATAAAAATGTCATTGTGCTTGTCATTTCAAATTTAGGATGAAACAATGCTCATTATCATGATCAAAGCAAAATTATACAATAATCTAGAATGAGTATCATATAACATTAGCAATCTCAAAGGTATGCATCAAAACTTTATAATAACAAATGGGACAGTTGCAAACTAGTCTAACAGCTGTCAAATCGTAAGAGCATGCTAATTAATTAGCATCACCGTAAGTATCAGGAGAATAATGCATAATACAGAAAGGTCAAATACCTAAGGTACCTTTATGTGATAATTAATCTAGCATAGCATAAGAAGGTGCAAAAATTTCTGTTGCTATTAAAATACCAAAAATAGTCATTAGTCAAAAACTTTGTATCAAAAATTACAACATCTTTTTTATGGAATCAAATACGACAGATAAAAAAGTTTACTACCAGATGAAATCAGCACAAGCAAAGATTTGTTTTTATACCAACGCGAAAATCTTAAATGAAAGCAACAAAATTTGAGACCATACCTGCATAACCAATTTGTACAGCAAGCTTTGTCAGTTTGGCTTGTAAAACAGACTTGTCTTTCCTGCCTGATCTCTTCTTTGGCTCTCCATCAGTTTCTGTAGTTCCACCATTTTCTGTTGTATTTCCTTGGGCATTTTCCTGTGGATTTTCTGTCAATGGTATTTCTTCAGGAGATGTTGAGTGGGTATGATCGTTTCGGTTGTTTGATGGCGCTGAGTTTTCTGTTAAAAAAATCATGACTCATTTTAAAATTAGCTGGAAACTTTACAAACTTTTAAAGTGTTTATGTCAAAACCAAAAATTTTTCCAACTTACAATCAACCTAAACAAAAAATGATTCGCAACATGTTCAGACCAAGTAATGTCAGTGACAAACCTGTGGGTGCCGCATTTTTGTCTTTCTTTTTACTTTCTTCCGAAGCACCAAGAAGTGAAAATATGATTCCAGTTTGAGAATTGACCCCAACAGCAGTAACCAACATCTTGCCACTTCCTTCCATAACATGTGTGCCTGAAATGAAAAGACAAATATTCATTCAACTTATTATTAGTATTTTCTACAAATAAATACCATTTTCAATATCAAGAATGCCCCTTGGTGAAACACATGCATTCTGGTGCATAATCCTGATAAACGTCAAATTTTAGTGCATATATCGAGATTATACCATCTCCCGATACAGAGTTTAGAATTATGTCACATTATACATAAACTCTATAGTGCACAATCAGAAATCCCACTGTTCATATAAGTAGAGAAACGAAATTGAAACTGACCTGAAAGAAGCATTGGGTCAACATGTACCCCTTTCTTAACATGATCAGATTCTCCAGTAAGTGAGCTCTCGTCAATTTTTAGGTCATTGCTCTGCAATAATACACCATCAGCAGGCAACAGATCACCTAGAATTTTAGAGTATACAATGAAACTTGTGAAAGTTGTCAATCAATCATTGTGACTTGTGAGGAATAAATGCAAACTCAAATATCGTCACAAAAGATATTAGACCAAATATCATAAAATTGAAAGATTTAAAAGTAAAAAGTTTTCACAGTAGAACTTATACCACTACTGAGAAAAGCAATACTTCATGATCAAATAATTCCAAACAAAAATTTGAAGATTTTGTGACAATACACATTATTAATTGTAAAAGATGGAATCATGTACATGAACATTAATCAAATAATATTTTTTGAATAGGAGATAAAGTTAAATACAATTATATTATATATCATTTTGATACATTTATCATATCAATACTAAATTACCAACTGTGGTTTTCTGTTCAATAATTGACAACGATCAATCAAATACACATAAACCCACAATAGGTAGGTATGCATATATAATTCCACATAAAGTACAAATATATATTATGTATAGTGCTTGTGAATACTAATCAAAGAATGAATTTAGCGGATATTATTTAAAATTCATATTATCCTGTTTTTAACCAATTTGTTTGATGGTCAGGTCAGTAAGGCCAATATTCAGGTATCAATTATAAAGTTATAACTGATTTTCCAGCCTAAGAAGATCTATGCAAATTATCCACTCAGGCCAGGGTTTCAGTTGAAATCAAACTAGACTTTTTTTGAACATTTTTGACCAAAAATAGAATTCTATATATAAGTTCAATAAGTATTTTTGAACTTAATGAAGTTTTTTTTTTCCAATTTTCGTTCAGAAGGATTGTTTCGCAATTTCGACGTAACCAAACAAAGCAGGAAAGCATAAACAGAGCAAAATGTCAACTAAGACAGCAATTTCAATACAAGGATGCAAAAACTTTACAAAGTGAGGTTCAAGGTAACCCAACGAGCGTGGTCGGGCATCAGTAACGTTATCAATAATTCAGTGCATCCAAGAATTACAGTCACACACGTCGGGCTTGCGAGCAGCTTAAAACCGAAATCTCTGCATAAAAATGCCACCACAAACAATAACTAGAGATTCCAGTGCATAACCAAAAATTTAAGAAGTTTCGATACTCCGCAATATGCAGTGAAATTACTGTCATCATTAAGTTATTGATTAAAGTTGTTTCAAAGGCCTATTGAAGCAAGGCCTCTGAAGAAAAATGTACATGTTCCAAATATTTAAAATATTAGCAATTGAAAATTTGATATTCCATTCAATATTTCATGTCATAAAAGCTCTTCAATGACGAACTATGTAGATAGCATTATGACATATGAAATAAAATACATTTATATTCTCTAAAATACATTAAATCTGGTATAAAACACACTATGTATAAAGGCGAGCCTAGCAAAATATAATTTTCTCAAATATTGTTTTAGCCCAATCAAATCAATTACCTAGTTTTCATACATAGCAAATCGTGATCTGTCAATGAAATATGTCCACCAAACAAGTGGTCCATGCATGAAAATTGATTTGCTAAAAATAGTTTCCAATAAATTTACTCTCAAGTTCGACCAAAATTATATAATACATTGATGCATTTTCAATCAATTTTTTCAAAGATAAATGTATCATATGCTGCAATGGTACAGGGGTTGAAACTTCATCAATTCAACAATATTGTAACAAACTAAAATGTGTAATAAATTGGATATTTAATATCATTTGAAATATTTTGTAAAATGCCCACAAAAAGACTTTGCAACATTTTTTTTACAGTTTTATTGAAAATTGCATATTATCTAAAGCAGAGTTAACTTAATGTTTGTAAAATTTTTCTCGTTAGTTATTTTTAGTTTATAATAGTTTTTTCTGCATAATAGCAATTTCATAAAACCAACTTGGCGTGACAACATGTATCGATTCTCCCTATATTGGTCTAGCAATTATTGCGATGAACCATAAATTATATTGTAGGTTTAGTGCAAGCAGAAGTGAATGTAATATATATTTTTGGTACTTAGGTATCCTACTAATGCTGCAATAACCCTACCACCATCACCCCTTCTGTTTAGATCCAATTTTGTACAAATTAAAAATGTATCTAGAACAAAACATGAAATACAAAAGTGTTTGAAAAATCATCAAAACAGCAAGCAACATAACAATTGACAAAAATAGAAATGTACATGTGTACAAAAATACGTACCATATTTAACCTGTGTTATATCTCCAACAACAATATCAGCGACGGGAATTTCCACGACTTGGCCAGCTCGAATGACTGCAAATTTTTGCTCTTGCTCAATTTTATTTTGCAGTCCACGAAACTGTTTCTCTTTCGTGTAATCATTACCCGCCGTCACTAGAACAACCACAACAACGGAGCCAAGAATAGCAGCCCCTTCTATCCACCCTGCCTCTCCTTCACCAGCTTCACCACCAGCAGCAAATTCCTCTGGCAAACAACCTTAAAAGCAAAATTGCAGTATATTATAAACAGAATATTGTTGAAAATTGATATTGCATAATGCCACGTACATTCAATATACCGTAATTTCAATATGATATATCAATATAACAGTCATTTCATTATTTTAACAAGTGCACAATTTTAAAAATAAAATGAATATTAGCAAGTCTAAGGATACTAAAGCAATGACTTATTGTCGGCCATAAATTGATGCCCTTGGCCGATACAAATTTCCGAATGTTTTTTAAAACAGCAGCATAAATATTGGTATAATAAAAATCAATCTCATGAATTGAACTTTCAAAATCCATTATCAAAGCAAATAAGAGCAAGCATATTTGTGTATTTCGGGTGGTTAACCCTATAAATAGAAATTCCTTTCTCAAACCTTGTCGTGAATAATAACATAAAATTTACCAAATACCAAAGGGTGTGAAACAGAGGATTATAATACGATACTATTTATACACATGTGACCCACGTATGTTTACTGTTATATTTTATCCTCGTGTTATAAATAAACCAAGAGAAAATGGTTCGAAGTATTGGCTTACACATTACCGGTACATTAGCATATAAGAGGGACCTTCTGTGTGCTTGCACAATTATAATTTCTTTAGTGCTGTGAAAGTTTTAATAATTTATATGGTCGTGTACCACAAGCATCAGGATAAGTTGAAAATATATCAATGGAGATTGAGTGTAGGTCCCGTAGAAGAGATGACCTTTTCAATAAATTTAATTTAGGCAGAAAAAAGTTCACCCTGAAAATTGCCTGTTAACTGGTACAAATTAATATCATTCTTATTTTATGATTTTAATTCCAATAATAGAAGTCAAGTTTGGTACAGTTTCAATGCGAACATTCTATACCATATTAGTTTAATATGCTAAAGTGAATTTAAAAGAAATACAAACATAAATGTACACCTTGAAACCAAAAAATTTGGACACCTTGAAACCATTAAGCCAAATTACCGGTATTCAAGTTGAAAATTATTGTATTATTTGCTTTGTTACAGTCAACTTAAGTTGACTACTATGTTGCGACACATGTAAAAAAAAGTGTTGAAATCCGGACAATACGTTAAGCATAATTGAAATTGTTCCATCATCAAGTGATATCATAATGAATAATGAATAAGTTGGAAGAATTTGGAATGAAAGTTGGGCAACTAAATATATTGCTGATAAACAATGTAATATCCAAATAAGCATTATGTAATGACTTATAACAAATTTGCATAAAAAGTGATATATATTCTAAAAAGTTGGGTGAATTGTAAAGCTAAGATTATTAATGCATGAACTTAATAATACAAGCTATAAAAGATCAGTCCCTACCTCAATGAGATTGAGGGTATAATCATGCTGTATTATTTTGAGTTTTTGACAGTATGATTATATATATAGGAAAGTAGGATAGTATTTGTTGAAAAATACAGATTTTATTTAACAAGCATAAAAGCAAGAATTATTTGAAAAGACAATATTATGCGAAAATGCATCTGATGCTCATTGTATTACTTCATCAAAAACTTTTTTTTTTTAAAAACCATTGTGGCTTGACCGCACTTTAAAACATTAAAGTAGTGACCAACTCCTTATTGAAATACCCAGATATGTGCCAGGAATTATAATACATGGTTATGTTTCATAGAAAGCTGTTGAAATAAAAGATAAAAAAGAACTTGAAACAAACCGGTGAGAGGCTGTCCTTCTGGAGGTTTATAAAATGCAAGACCGAGGGATATAATAGCGGCTACTTCTAAAATAATGAGAGTGACATCTTGTAATGCTTCCCATACTAATTCCAAGAATGTCTTTGGCTTCTTTGGAGGAATAAAATTGGCGCCGAAAACCTTCCGACGAAGTTCCAACTCTCCGGGTGCACCGCCCAAACCTAAAATATGCAATTTGTTCTTAGTAATGTCACATAATCCCATGAGACAACACATATGCCGTCCATTGACGTTTCTAAAATGCAAACTAATTTGTCACATGCTACAAAAGTGATGATTGATTGGATTCAAGTAAGAAAATTAAATAGGAATAAAAATCAATCAAGTAAAATCAATGAAACATGAATACAGATTAATCGTGTGCAAAGAAAACTATAGCAAGTAAATTTTCTTTTAACTGAACAGTTACAAAAAATCACAGATAAATGAGTTGAATTGCAGTTTTTTATTGTGGTTAAGCATAAAAAAATATACAGATTATGGAGAATTATGTGAAATTCTTGAATCTGAAATAACCTGAATTCTGCATATACTGTTGAGTTGATCAACTTGTTTATGCCAATCTCTAGTGGGAATATTCCTATCCCACTATAGATTTCCACATTATCATAGATCCCTATCTTTTCAGTAAGGTTATAGGGGTAGTCTTTGCTTGCATTCTAACATATCAGATAGGCTTTGACCTATTTGTCGTTTGAGTTAAAAGTACCATCATGACATATGAATATTATGAGTTTTATTTTGGTTAATATTATTCACACTGAGTCACTGACACACACCATAACATACATTGTGGAAAGCAAGGATCTACTATGGTCTCTAGGTCCTAGGCAGAATGAATCTAGCATTTAAAATCTGATTATGAGCATTATTTTGAACATAACAGGATAATATCATGAATTTTCTGTAAGGGGACAGCTATAACCACGCTCAATAAAATATGGCATGCAAGAATTGAAATTGTTTGGTCCAACTTTTATATTAGTTGCAAAAATGTAAAATATATACCATCAACTGGAGAAGTTTTCAAACTAGTGGCAAGACCAATGACATCTTGATATTTTTGTTGTATTTTTTGTATTCCTTCCTCTCCTCGAAATTCCATCAAATCTCTCAATTCTGAGAGTTTGCAATCGAAATTTCCGCTCCCATCGCCTTCCAACATCTGTGCATTATTTGCACCCCTTTTCGACATTTTGAAATCACTCCAAGAAAACAAGAAACTTAACTAGATTGCTTCTTCCCTAGTCATTAAAAAAACTAAAATATGTGAAAATAATATTTAGATAAAATTATAATGGATCAACCTTGTTAAATACAAACCACTCTAAACAAAGTACTAGACAAGCAGTAGCCAATTGCACTATATATAATAAAATGAGCCAGAAGAACAAATATTAGTTTCAACAATTCTTTTGAATGCACCTAAGAGGCTAAGTGACTAATGTGTCATTTCTGTAAATTCAACACAATTTAAAATAAAGTATGATCTGAATGTTACTTGAAAAAAATAACAATCGTTGTCGCAAGGGCATGAATTTGATGGTATAAGAAGTATCTTTAGTAAAATATAGTAATAAACTAAAAAATATTTATTTGTAATTGAGTATGGTGACACAATTTGTTGAATACCGTTATTGTATCACGCACATTCAAGCATGCAGCATACAGGCATATGCATTCAATAAAAGTACACTAACGTTAAAAAAAAACTGTTTCTTCAAGCCCATTCTCCTGAGCCAATTTTTGTGTTGGACCAATGAATTTTTTAAATAAAATGTACATGTCTGTGAAAGTGTATAAATATATGATCTTGAAACTGTATGCAGAAAAAACAGCTGAAATGGTCTTTATATTCTATATCTACTGGTAAATTTCATAATGAAAAGGTAAAACGAGAGAGAATTTTGTCGAGATTTGTTTGAATGTATATCGTTCAAGATATATCAATTTTCAAATTGTTCTGTAATCCCATTTTCAAGACAAAGTTGTGCCTTGAAAAGATCATTTATTTCAAATCTATTCCAGCCATGATTTGTGGCTACATGCAGACACGGTACACACTAATAAGCTGTTCTGGCTGTCTGTGCGACTATTTACAGTATAGTGCTTGAATCACTGAATGAAGAACAATAACATACGGTACATTCCCCTCGGCTATTAATATATATTTTTGTTTAGTCTGTTAGTATAAGTATAACTGTCTGACTGTACAGGAACTCCTGAAGAAAAAATGAATAACTTGCCAAAAGACCCATCATCTTTATTAAAAACACACCCAGCATTACACATCTGCACATGGTTGGCAGGCATCCTACTGCTGTACTGTCAGACTGTCCCACTACACACTCCAGTTAATTGATGGGACTATCTGATACAGTAATATTGTGAAATTGTAAAGTGCCCCACAACCAGACAGTTTCAACTATTTTTTTTAACTCTGTCTGTCAGTCTGTAATACTAGTACTCTAGTACCAGTGACTGAGTGATGTCAAGGATGTATGATTCCTAGAAACTAATCAACACACTCAGATTCACACTTCACCGGTTTAAATTACCGGTAGCAGCTGACATACCGGTACCGGTACCAATGTTGCATTTCTTCTGAACTTACAGACTTAGCTGATAACTCCTGCTCATTCCAGCATTCAGGAACCAGTCAAATTCTGAAATTGCCATTTCTAAATCTTATGTCTGTATGTCAGGCATTTCATTTTCCGTTTGGGCATGAAATAAAAGATGTGAATGACGCATTTGCGATTACTGCCTCTTTTTAATGAGACGTTGGTCCACTCAGAGTTGTTTCACGCATATCAATTCAGAACTTATTTCTGTAATGACCAGCTCCTCATTCCAAGATGACAAGCCTCAGTCTGCGAGTGTCAGAGTGCGGCACGACTCGCGTTACTGGACATTCCCAAAAATATAGAAACGAATCAATATCGCGACAAGCGGTGCAAGTTCAGAACTCATCCGAAATGCAACGACAGGCTATGAAATCCACATAAGCTACCACCATAAAATCCGCGTACCGCGATAATAATGCACTTTTGTTCGCTGCAAGGTACCGGTATTCATCTAGCTAATTTACCGTGATAAACCAACGCAGAATAATTCGTCGCGCAACTGATAGATTTTCATCAATGGCTACCCAGATCAATACTTTACAACGTAAATTCGCTTCGTTCAGACCCTTCTGTAAACGGGTCGCTCGATTTTCCATCGAGTGCGAAACTGCGTATTGAACAGTCAACAGATCGTAGAGATTCGTAGAAAGGTCGCGGGATTGATTTCCAATCATATTTACGAATGAAGGCGCTATTATCGATTGACGGCAATCTTTTGACGCCGCAAAGACTAAAGTTTGACCTAATCGCAGATCATGCAAAGTAACGTTAAAGAATTCCCAAGCGGTTAACAAAAAGATAAACGCGAAGCGAACGAACTGAGTTCCAGGTCGAAAACGGCATAATGAATATAATTTAGTTTATTTGTGACGTCACAAATAATAATAATATTTTAAAAATAAAAATATAAAGCATTGTTACATCACATCGTTACCTCAGTACAGTACAGTATTTTGCTTTAGTTTTACATCTCGTCAGATTTGCCTTTGTTATACAGTTTTCTCGATTTTTTAGTGAATTTCCCTGAGATTTTTGCATATTTTTAGTTAAGCTGCGGAATTATCTCAAATGTGTTTGCTGGCGCAACTATTGTATATTCAATAGTTGTGCCTTGTAGCGTAGGTGACGCTGCTTGAGGACCGCTATGTTTCCCCACGCGACTCCGGTCAAGCAAATAATATACTGTAATTAGAATTTTGTTCTTGTGCCAGTTTTCTGTACGCTTATTTTTTGTAATGACAAATAAACGACTGTCTGACTGACTTTGTTCCCGATATCGCTAGTACATTTACTATTTTTGTCGGCTGAAGTTGTATGAAGTATGTACTGTTTCGTTTTACTGGTTTATTAAGTATTTTCTTAGCCGCTATATATTTTACGTAACAATAAAAGTATTTTGACTCTCCAAACAAAACAACATGAAAACAATAGCATTTTACTGCCTTGGGCCTATTTGTAAGAATAGCTGAATATATGGTATATAACCGCAAAAAACGTGGCACAATAACATAAAAGTTCATTTTTGCACTGCGGTTGATATGATGTCATGTTTAAAAGTTGAGTTTTATTAATAATCCCAAGCTGCAGAATTTTAAAGTTCGAGTCACAAGTCACGTCCGATTTTTTAAGTTTCACCATAACCGATGTGAGTTGCTGCCAGAGCTTGATTTGGACCACCGTGTGAGTAGCAGAGGTTGGTTACTCGTTTCCTTATATTTGGTCGTCGCCCTCGTTTAGTTTTCATATTTATAATCGGGTCGGGTAATGGCCAACCAGAATTAATTGTTTTAAAATTATAAATACTGATAAGGCGTAATTAGAAAGCGATCAGTAGAACCACTTGCGATAACGAGGAGTCCGGATATGCTCTCGCACATATTCACACCCTTTGCAAAGGATTTGGGCCAGCGAAGCCACGCAGGGACATTAAACGCTCTATGTTCTCACCGATGAAAAACATATATCTCTTCGGTATGAATGATTCTATATCAGTATAAGACCAAATAATGAGTATATATATATCATCGTCTGTATTAAATATTTTCGAAGGAAAATAAGAAGAATCCTACTGTAATACAACGAGTTAAAAAGATGTAAACCAAGATACATTAGAATACATATAATCCTGGTATAAAGCACAGACAATAATGCATTGGTTGTGATCAGCTTTATGAAACACATTCTCAAACTGAAATCATTCATGATGCATAAACAAAAAATATGGCATTTTGCAAAAGCGCGTATGTAAGAAGCGAAATGATCAAAACGGGATATAGAACCGCTTTTTCCTCCTATAATACCCGTCTTATATTTGCCAAGTATTTTTCCTGAGAGATAACATACACAGCTTAATAGGGTCGTTCAATATATACAAACACATAAAATAAAGCTTAATATATTAATGGAATCAAGACAGTGTTGTCTAATTGCATAGAAATTATATACACAAAATTTGCTCATAGCCGGATTAGCTTGAAATCAGAAACTGGACTTTATTTGATCGAGCATCATCCGTATATAAATCGCTAATAGATGAATTTGGATTCAATTGAACTTTTCCGTGTCCCTGCTTGATAGAACTTTATTATACATATCAGTTTTCCTTTCTTTAATAAAGAAGACTTGTGTATAAATGACGTCGTCGTCTGTGACGTCATATTCGTATAAAATGATGTCATCACGATAAATTTATTTCAGACTTTACTACTGTAGCTGGCAAAAGGTAGTTTTGTTGTACGGAAGTAGTATATGAGACATCCAATTAATATGACAGCAACAACCAATCCAATAACAAGGCCTGTAATGGAGAAAAAACATTAAAAATGTAGTCGGTATGGAATTCAATTATATCTGATAAAATGCGAGCACTAAACCTACGTTTTGAATAGGATGAGCCAAGTTTTTTTTTCTTCATTCCACGTTTCAAAAGTAAAATTACCATATTTACAAATTTGGGGATAGACTACATAAACAAATGACCAAGGCCCGCGAGTTTATTCTTCAAAACATATTTGCAACCTTAACCGCACATTCTGTCGGATGTTTTATACAATGAAACAATACTGCCTGATTTTTTTTACATCCAGTGATTAAATAACGCGAGGAGAAGCGTCGGCGGAACAAGCTAAAATTTGAATTTCTATTAGCTGAATGAATGAGAATGATAATAAATTTCTTTGCGCTCCTGAAGTATGCGTACCAAGACGGCGGACACCGGAACGTAGTATGTGTACTAGGTTAGGGTGATGGCATAATTTTAGGTATAAATACTACGGGAGTCACTTGGCTAGTCACCGAACTAACATAAGGAGATTTGGATTAAATAATGGCCTAACCTTATCCTGGTACACATACACGTTCCGGTGTCCGCCATCTTGGTACGCATACTGAGTACCAATTTATTTATGGTAACGTGCAGAAAATTCTTTTGAACCAGCACATAGCGGCTACCTCTGACAAACTGGCCGCGAGAAGCCTTCGCTTCGAACTACTGTTAGCCTCCTATTCAAAACTATATGATGTGTATGATGCATGGCAGTTAAATCACTAAATATAACGACAAAAATCATTGCATTACCTGCCATGGGTCCAGGTGCGACTTGTTTTGCAACAACGAAATGACCCCCGGATTCGGTTTTAAAATGAGCAGAAGAACTACTTGATTTCTTTGAATCCAGTTCCAAACTTATCCAGGTCGAATCGTCGGTTGTCCTGTAAACCACTGCTTCAAACAGAGACCCAATGCCGTTTCCACTCTCTAGCGATATTGACATATGAATGGGGTTGCCTTCTGAAGCTTGTGCCTGAACAATATTGAATATACTGGAATGAAAAACTACAATATATAAGAAACAATAACACACTGTAACATAGGTATATAGTAAGAAATGTTAGTATAATCGCTTTTTAAAACTAAATAGGATTTTTTATCAGGAATCTTTCAGAACAAAGTCACAAGCGACCGGTTGAAAACGAAGAGACTACAGATGCTACACACAGATACTATACAAAACTGTTGCACTACAGAGTTCACACTTCAAGTATTCCAATATTACACAAATTACAAGGCTATTACAAAAGTGATGCTAATAGAAACCTATTGAGCCGATGTATACTCATGTATGCTAAATCAAGTTTGGGAAAGTTCTCTATAATGAGAAGCAAATGTGAGTACAAGCTTATGAGACGATTTTATTTAGCCTGCAAACCTCATGATCGAACTGGACAAGACAAGATTAAAGTATAATCGCTGATTTATTCTGGAAAAATTCATTTGTACAATCATACAGAAATTGCTTATGAATTTAAAACGATGTGCCAACAATCCTGGTACTTACATTTTGTGATAAAAGTACAAAATTACTGATGTAATCATCATTCGGTGGTCGGCTTTTAAGTGCGACTTCGTCTTGGTGAATAACTTCGAGTTGAACATTTTGAGGATCAGAGAGACTTTGGGGTGGAAAGTAGGCGGCTGTTTGAGTGTGATCTCTAGAAAAAACATAGACATTCGGAATAAATTTACGGAACTACTATCAACTGGCAACCAAGTATGCCCTTTACGAAAGAGGTCATTCATATGGCGTTTGCTTCCATATAACCATCCCGACATCTAAATATTCTTTCAACTTCATAATTCGTTATATTGTATGATGTCATGATCTGGAAATTGTTACGTCAGTCAATTTATTTTTTGAATAAATGGAGAAACTATTGTTTTTCGAAAATCTCCATTTTGAAAATACTGATAATCAAAATCAGTCTGTGAAATTTGGCATGATTGCAACGAAAACTTAATATACGTTAAATTCCATATATCAAATCTTTCTTGCCTATTGGGTCAATTTCAATTGAGTGAATTCGAGGATATCTTATTGTTTGTATACCCACACCTAAAATGTTTGTAAGTGAGAAGCGCAATATCACATAAATTATTTGAGCAAGAAACTGTGATAAAATTGGGATTTTCTAAGATTGACTTGAAATAGCAAGTAACAATCAACGACTAATTTACATTGTGTGATTCTCAAATATCCGTCGTCTTCCTGAATTCTAACTAAAGATACAAGCTGCAAGCAAAAAATACATACTCTGTGCCAGTCATAGTGACATTCCCTCCAAGTTGACCAATATAAGCTTGTGATACTTTTGATTTCTTGACAATTATTTTTCCTTTTTGACTTCGGTTTGAGAAGTTATTATTCCTGGTACACATGTAATTGAAATCACCGACCATCGTTACTTTCCTAGGCGTCAAATCGTAGTATGTTCCAGCGTCGTCAAGTTCGTGCATGACTCCACCAAATTGAACTAAGATGACAAGGTAATGTCTTAATTATTGTGGAATGTATATGTTTAATTCATATTATATATATATTACCAAACCGATCCGTAACCGAAATAACAGTTTCCGGTTATTTTTGCGCGTGTAAATTGTGTTAATTTTGCGCGTGGAAATAATAATTATGACAAGAGATATTGCACCGCAAGTAGGCGTGACTTCCTAGTTGGGGAATATCGATACCAAGTTGAGGAATATCGCAAATTGATAAATCTTTTTGGAAGTTATATATCGATACATTTGCTTACAAAATATAACATAGCCTTAAATGACTATTTATGTTCAATCATCGGAGTACAGATTATCAGTCACTCTCTCTCTGTCTAATTTATAATTTATAAAAAAGTAGCCCCTGCAAGGGTTTGAAACATCTTACAACAAAATTTATAAAGTACTGTATGTGCATTTACGCAACCCAAGATATGCGGTTCAATCCTATTTCAATTCAGGCAACTTTTTATTCAGATGCCTGTAAATCTTTACTTGATTTTAGATAGAAAAAGGAGACTGCTTTCAACATTACGTGAACAGACCACGTTAGGAATAATAGAAAAATAATGATGATTCAAAGTTAAGAAATATGAGGGACTTAGAAAAAATAGAATCGCACAAATAATGTTTAATTCAAAAGTTTTTTTGATGCGTTGTATTTTACTCCGAATAAAGCTCTGCGCAAAAAGCCACTGTCAACCCTGACGTGTGGGCATCTGACGTGTCGGCGTGAAATTTGAACACGTGATTTTCCCATGCGATGCCATGAGAGCCACCCGCCCACTTGTCAATGGAATGAATATGAGCGCCTCGTCCAGCTAGCGCACCAACTTGGACATGAATTTGAAAATTTATTGTTGTCGCGAATGCGAGTGCAGTTATTCTGAGGTATTCAAACGTTTCGAGAAAATGGCTGGACGAAAAAATATTCTAGAAAACAAAACTCATATTATTGCGTGGTTAAACAAGTCAAGAGTGGCGGACATTACCATTTTATTTGGTACTATGCTAAATTTACTATGAAAGTCTTACCATTTGACAAAGAAGCAAGCTTAGATTTATCATCGTCAGAAAATCCCAAGAAGTCCATTTCTGTAACATGTGAAGGGTAGCTCACTCCTGCATGTCCATAGGTATAACTTTGTGCCAATGTAGGATCACCTTCAGAGAAATTCTGCGTAGGAAAAAAAGAACATGAAAAAATAAAATGAGATCGTTGTTGTTAATTTATAGTTGAAATTTTTGCCCAACGTTTTTACACGCTTTTCACTTCGAGAAAGGCTCTGTACAGGAACCCACTGATATGTATGGAGCTATTATTTTCAAAAAGATCCGAAAGTTTTTCGGGTCAGCATTGCCTAATACCATGTTTTACCCTGGGTGAGGTGGTATAGGTACGCTATCGTAATAACTGCCTCATCAAAATATGTTAAGCGCGAAAAAACTTACCAACCTGAGAAATCATTTACTGCATTCAGTGTACAAATTTACGCATTAGACAATATCAATTTCAAAAGTGTGGCCAAATATCATCTAATATGAAAATTAACAAGAGAGTAATGCTCAATTATATGGACACGAAAGCTAAAACGAAGTAGTATCAAGTCTTCTATTATAATACCGATTATCTGACCACTGAGATGCGGAGCGCAAGTCTTAATTTTGATGACGTCATCACACTACACAAAACTTCGGAGTGAAAAACGAATCCCATAGAGCAAATAATTCTGAAATAAATAAATGTAATAGCCCTGTAGTGACAACAACAAGTTTGAACCACTGACAATTTCAAAGCAATTGGTCCAGTAGTTGAAGAGGAAGCGGCAACAACATAATAACAAAACGATTCATATTCCACTTCGTGTCCAACAAGACTATTCCAACCTACCCTGGCTTTCATAGGTACAACGTTACTTCTGTCCGTTGATTGTCGACCTTGTCCATCATTGTTTCCAGGATTATCGTTAGATCCAGTCCATTGAAAATGTATATAATCTTCTGGTGCTACTCGTATATTATTAGGCACATAATCGTATTCAACAGCTGGGTAGACCTTTAAATAAAAACGAGAATTTCAAAAAAAACTTATCAACTATAATTATGCAAGAGAACAATGCTCAAATATATAAACACAGAAACCAAAACGAAGTAATATATATCGAATCTTTTATAGTATGGCAGGTAGTCTTCATTATCAAAAAACTTCGACTTCGATGACCACCAGATCGATGGAAAATGTTTGCGGTGCGCCTTCTAGCGACAATAACGATCTTTCACCGCTGAAAATTTCAAAGCAATTGGCCCAGTAGTTAAAGAAATACGCGATTTTTTTGACAACAACAACAACAACAACAATTTAACAGAATGATCCATAGGCCCACTACGTGTCCAATAACTCTGCACGTTGGTTAACTGCAGTCCATAAGTAAGGAATTGTATGAGCGTTATCTGGCAAAAATGTCGATCATTCCAAACAAAACATCTCCATTCACCTAACAGTTGCTTGCGCTTTGTTCGGAGCAAGAATATGACACATCTGAAACCGGACGGGGAAAAGCGCCTAATAATAACGAACCTGTACGATATTTCCTCTTTTCCCGCGAACATTCAAATTGTAAATTTTCTTGTCCCTCAAATCGGAAGGACGACTTCGAATTTCAAATCGATGAGTTCTGAAAACGAGTAAAAATGTTTATAATGATATTATTTGAATAGAAAACTTTGATTTAGTTTCATATCACGTTCATTCACGCCTCTCTCTCTCTCAGAACAAAGCCGTGTACAAGAAGCGACTGATATCTCACGATATGTAATGAGTTACTTTTTTTTTGGAAGTATCGGAATCTTTAATTTTAAACCAGATATGTATAAACTCTCTTGCCCAACACATTCAAGTTTAAAGCTTTAACCGAAATGCGAGATAAAGCTTACAATAACAACAATTTTGGAAAACGGCCCATCGGTACATATCGAATCCAATTATAACTTCAAATAGATTTACCGGTCTTGGAATGTTCTTCCGAATTGAGCTGTGTTAATGGCAAGTGCCAACTTCAGTTTCGTTCTATTGAAAACATCAACTTCTGGATCATTTTTCAAATAATACCCTCTTCTAACAGCTTCCTCTTGGGACAAACCTAAAAATATTCATCAATTAGTTATCAAGCATTTATCTTAAATGTAAATTTATTTGTAAAAATTATTATTTCAATTACCTAATGATGTCCACATATCAGGACCGTATCCTTGTTGTTTAGTTCGTCTGTTGTTAGCTTTGTCTGATGTATTCCATCCATCGTAATCACTTGTTGAAATATTATATCTGAATTGAAATAATGGAATTCAGCAACGACAAGGAGAAAAGAGAAATTAAAAATCAAGAAATAGAAAAAATTGAAGGGGTAGATAATAAAAGTGAAATGACATGTGAGATGATAAGTTTGTTAGGGAATGAGCGTGACTATTTTGTCGCCCTCGCAAGTTAGATCATTCTTGTTAGAAAACCCGGCAGTTAAAGAAAACTACTAAAATTCAATCAATCTTCTTAATTTGCTACATAAAAATGTCAGTAATAACCTGATTCTCAATGTACAACTTTTATTTGGATCATCAAATATAGTCCAGTTGAACATGGCAGGATGACCTCCTAATGTGTTTCCGAGATGATTGTCTCGGCTTTTGATTGAATCGGTACAGGCAGGCGGAGGAAGGTTATGCGAAGGATATTCTTTCCATACTCCAGCAACCTAGGAAAAAATGTAAATTTTGAATTTTTGGTTTTTTAGAAAAAAATTCAATGTTGTTTCATCGTTGACTACCAGTGACGGCTTCCAGGGACTACCAAGATAGTACGTACAGTTCAGTGAAAAATGGCGTTTTGGGTATTTGTTGACTATCCCAATGCGTTATTTTAATTTTAGTTTCACGTTATTTTTTCATAGGTTAAACAGGCATTTGTTTTAAATGCTTTATTTCAAATGACCGACGCTCTCTAAATGGCGAAAGTGAGAATATTATCAAATTTCTTGTATAGACTCTGTTTCACAGTGGAAACACTCCGCAAAAACAATAACAAGTTGAATGACTTTTGCAATCCTGAAAAGTAAGCAAAAATTATTTGAAAAATATACACTTTACGTTCCAAGGAAACCAGCAGGAAATATGAAAACGTAACCAAAACAAAAGTGCCGACCAGACGTTGACTAAAAGTTATGACCAGATTGCTTCCCGATATTTGACTCTCAAACTATATTTAAAAGTATAGTCCACGTTTCCAAAGTTAGACAATATTCTCCCGAATTTATTTACCAGTAATTACCTGATTTGAGAAAAAAGTAATTAAGTAAATATTGTTTTAAAATTGCTATTTTAAAGCACACAGAATACATTTTGTTTTTAGTATCTTTCCGCCTCGTTTTGGAATACCAAAACACGCCAACTCAAAATTTAAAATTGACATCCGCGTATGATAAGCCACATATAAATCACACAATATTTCATTCATAGCTTTTAAATATCCGTTAAATTCGATTTTCAAATTGGAATGTAGTAAAACGATAATTCCAAAAAAAAAATTAATTTCAAACAAAGAGTGATAATTATTTAAGTGACTCATTGGTGAAAAATTCTAGTTCAACTCATTGTCAGGTCACGAGTTCTATTAAACGTTGTTTTTCTATAATTACGATTGTATCTGAAAGAATTCAAATTTCCTCGGGTCAAATATCCTGATCAATAACGTCCATTGCTCAAATGTAGATGCGGTTGTTGTCGACACAACGGGCAGCCGTTTTATGAATAGGACAATATGGAATGGCATTTTATAATGTGCAAGCCAAACTTACTTTAATGAACTAATATCCTTCTTGATATAACATAATCGCTTATTCTGTATGGCTCTTCGACAACTGATTTGAAACTTTCAAACTATTCCACATGCTTATGATATTGAGTTTTCAGCACTACCAACCAAAAATTCCGTGCGTTAGCCATTATTATTAATTCAAGTGCTATTTACTATACTACGTTACCGAAAAAGTTTCGGCATTATTGTCTGGTTATTTTCCATGCTCGGAATAAAATACTCGAACTAATTTTGGAGGACGGACCGGAAATACGCCTAGAAATAGAACTGTCAATGAGTCCATTTCATAAAATATTAAAGATCAATTCCAAATAACCATAATTAGTTCATTATTTCTACCGTAATTTGAAATTGTTGATATCAAATGGACGATTCACGGAGTTTTCACAAGTTTTTTCATGTTAGATCCGTCAAGATCTAAGGTTATGGGCCTAAACCTAAAATTTTGAAAATTACCGACAGAAGAATTGTAGCGATCACTGCCGCACCATTAAGAATTAATGTTGATACATAGTCGCAATCATACAAATATCCTTATCATCATTTGTATATAAGATATGTAGGGATTGTACAGACGATCATAGTTAACCATTAACTAGCACTGGTTGAAAAGCGGGAAAATGAGACAAACTTCAATCGAAGTCTTGCTAACATTAATACCTATGAAGATAGAGTAATTTATTGGTATTGGGCCGCCTGATGGCCCTCACTTGGCCGTGTTTCATAAACAATTATTATATGAAATATATGTATTAGTTTAATAATTTAATCATTAATGTTAAAAGTCATCTTACGAGTCGATATGAAACTATTGAAGACTCAAACATTAATGGCAACAAACAAACGCGATGCGTGTTTCAGACGCCATAGTACCAGTACAATTGTTTAAATATTTGACTACTACTTAACAAGTAAACGGCCTACAAGACTTCGATGACACGGAGACACCTTCTAATCTAGACTCTGATCGACATCCATGCCTATTTAAAATTGTTTGTTGGACGATGGGCAGAGATTTTTCATATCGAATGCTTAGAAATTAATACGACGATGAGTAATGAAAAGTAACTAATCGAAAGTAATAATTACAATTCAAGTCACATGAAAACTTACGTTAACGATCACATTACTGCAAGTCATAAATGTCAAAAATAATTTCATATTTATTTCGAGTTGCATGACCGCGTTTATGACTTCATAATTTACGTATGAAATGAGTGATTGTGCAAAATTAGCATGCGTATAAGAATGAATGCAAAGATTGAATAATGCATGCAAAACATATCCATCATTCCAATCTGTTTCAAAAAAAAAGAAATTATTTTATGTCATTAATTGATATTCTCATTTCTCAGAACATTTGAGTGTACAAAGTGATATCAGTTACTTAAAAAAATACTTTGAATTGATAAAATTTTATTTGTTTGTAAGTTTGAAGAATTTTGTTTATTTTACAGTATTACTACATATTAGACCAAATTAAGTTTACTTCGATTTGTATTACGGCGATTCACTTCTGTTTCGTATATGAACTAAAGGTATATACCAGATTAAAATTATGCGGTCTTTGTTCATTTTCTTTGTCTAACCCTTCTATTTTCAAATACACACAAACGCTCCGTTAAATAAACATTATGATAGGATAAAGAAATTGTGGGCAGAATGGTTTGACATTAAAATAAATATTGATTTTGCAAAAGAAAACATAAATAGTAAACTGGGAAGGTAAACAAGCGTTGCAAGAATACTTCCATTTATGGAAGAACGTATCGATTTAGTCATATGGTGATTCACTGGACATATCACGTGCCCATAAATTACGTCATCTCTGAGACGATTTTCTGCCACGCGTGAAATATGGATGAAAAATATGACGATTATCTTTAAAATAACTTTGTTCTCGGTTTGCGATATTTTTAAATAATTTCCATCAAACTGACATACACGATGGGTAGTAAAATGCATGAATATGCATTAAATGGCGATTAAAATATAATATTTCGCAGTTAAATCTTTAGTAAACTAAAAATGTCAACAATTCGACCATCGACTATATGTACCGAATATTGTCAACAGACGAGAATAGAAATATTGCATTTCATATTGATTACCCTTACTAAACGGAATTCCATAACAAGCTAACATAAGGAAACTAACTGTAAATTATAGGACATGGAAGACGACATCATAGACCGTCACAAACCCATATATTACTAATTTCACACAACAAGGAAGCTACTAGCATATTTGTTAATTGGTATAAAGTTAACGCGGGTTCAGTTGGTAGCATTGATTTAAAATATTTAAATGACGCTGTATGCATTAAGCAAAAACAAATTGATATTTCGCCAAAATATTGAACTGTTCTTGATCAAGCAAGCTATTAATTAAGAAATTGCCGACAGTTTATGTCACGATTCTCCATCCTTCCAGAAACATACTTTGGCAGGCTAACTTCATGTATGGATGATAGGTTATTAGTCAAAACAATCATAAAATGATGATAGATATAAATATGAAAATTCGATCTAGCCTAGCTAAAAATTTCAATGCATTGATCGATCTTGGCAAAACTTAAATCTAAACCATTGAGCTCTGTGCCATAGTTTTCTACGATGTAGAAAAATTCAACGAAAATTACATATAAATGAAATAACTTACCGATTCCCCGCCTCCAATGTCGGCATCGAACGCTTCGCATTTTTCTTTTTCAATGGGAATATATGTGTTTACGTTGTTTTGACCGCTTTTCTAAAGATATGTTTACATCTTATAAACGAATACAAAATATCAATTACACGAAGTAATCCTGAGCTCCGATCGAATAGATACAACTGAGACAAAAAATTAACTCACAATATACAAGTACTGGTATGGAACTTCGCATGCGTGTTTTGGTTTCACGTTCTGGCTTTCTCTTTGGTAATATTCACATCTTGAAACATCGTTCGTTAAGATTGCAATGTCCTGTAATAAAATGCAAAAGTGTTTTCAATTTGAAGGATATTCTGGAAACGTACGAAGTTCAATTGAAGCCAAATGTGTAATATAAGATGAAGGCTAATGATTTGCTTTCCTTATCTTACACATAACTAGTCATCAGGGCACAAGGAGAATCACCCATCTCTACTCTTTGCCGTATTCACAATCTTAAAGTTGACACTATTTTGAACATTTTGAACGAGACTCAATACCATTGGGTAATTTTTTGTAACTCCTTTGACATTTCAGCGAATAGATGAAGTTTAAACTAATCTTCGAAGCCTGCGTTCTACTTTCTTCAACGGGAAAACATAAACATAAAAAGCTGGATTCTCACTTTCCAAGGTGTTGGCCCCCAATATGGATAATGATCTCTTTCTTCCGGACATTCGTAACCTCTTCTTGTTCCAGCGTTATTTTGGCGCGTATATTTTGCTGATTCGCCATTCAGATTCTAAACAGATTGAAAATAAATTATACAAAATTCGTTCTGAACGAGACGCCAAATGTCATCAAATTGACAGCCATGCCAATGGACGTTGGGTTAATTATTTCAAAAATTTACTAAACTCGTAAATTGGCACGTATGGAAAATTCGATGGAGAACAGCTTGAATATGCGAAATAAACTTAGCGAGTTGAAACTGATTGATCCAAAAATAGTATGATACTTTCATATATTTTACCTAAAGAAACCATATTGGCAGTGCACAATCTAATTCTAAAGCGTTAGACGTAACTGTGCTGGTATTGCCGATTACACATCTCTTCAAATTTCATGCCCAAGGTGTAATAAATTGGATAGGCAATGCCGGAACCGGAAAGATTACGATCCTTCCAAATGATAGTATCTCTATACATATCGTAAGATATCAGTGGTTGCTTGTATCGAGCCTTTTTCAGAGCGAGAGGCGTGGCTAAGTGTCGTATAAAACCAGGCTTACCCTATCAGCAGTGAAAAGTCCTTTATTTCGTGACCTCAATTTGCAGTGAGCATAATAATAAAAATCTTCGTGCATTCCATATGCTTTATCAGAATCACAGTCACCATTTTTACAGTTGTTAGGCTTCTCAGGAATTGTTGATGTTGATATACCGTCTCGTAAAGTATCGCTACACATGTATTGTAAAATCACTTCACAATGATTGTTTAGGTCTCCACATGAATGTTGATTTGTCCTGCATAATATAATATAGTTTAGTTGGGGTATCTAGTAATAATAATATATATATTATATAGTATAATATAGTTAAGTTGAAATCACGATGAATAAAGAATGGGTGTATGTAGAGTTTAGCATTCAATTTAATTTGGCACGAAATGTACATATGATTCATTTGCTGAGTTGATGTTGTCGGAAAACATTGCTTTTCTCAAAAATAATGAAATGACCGATTTCAAAATTTTACCTCGGTGACAATATCACCTTGTTCTCTTGTCTCTAGTCATGATAATTGGATTATTTGTCATCAATGAAAATCAATTCATTACCATGAACGAGGGAATATATCCCAGATTTTCAAAAATGCCAAAAATGTGGTTGCAAGGGCGCCAACATCGAAAATTAGGATATTATACATTGCATAAGCGTAATATGACCTATTTTCGTCCTGTGAATTATTTTTTTTTCAATTTTCCAAATTTGTGATACAGAATCCATTATCATTATAATATGGGGTACTGTGTCGCTACTCGTGGTAGGTCGTCAAATATTATTCATTTTTATCCACGATTCATTACGTGAATTGCGTTGCTTAGTCGAAATACGGCATTTACTCACGCGTGGCTCAGGACAATTCCTGATAATAAAATCGTCTTGAGTCAAGTAGAATAATTTGAATCAACATCCGAGACGCCAGAATAAATATAGAGAATACAGTTTATTTGAAAGGAAATTGATTCATCCGTTTATTTCCGTCTATTTAAGATGTAATGCTTTATATAATTTTGCATTGCATAATAATAAATTTATTTCGATAAATGAAAATATCTGTTTTGAACGATATTTAGATTTAAGAATATTAATAACCAGTTTTTTAGGACCCGAAACCTTAAATTGTAGTTTTGAGTAAAATAAGCATTTTGCTTGTAAATATTATAAATATAAAATTGACTTAGTATGCTAGATATCACATATGTCCTAACTAAAATATTGAGCAAATAAATTTCATAAATAAATATTGAATATAGTTGTATCACAACCATTTTTCTCCGTCCTTACATTGATATCACACAGACGAACATTTTTTGATTCGAAATCGATTTTAATACGAAAATGTACTGCGAAAAATATATTTACATTATAATGGTAATATGGCGATGGGGTACCTAACTAGATTGAAGACAAACAGATACAAATATATAAAATTTAACATTCTGTCTCTCATCTGAATTTGTTGCTATATTCGTATATTGTAACAAAATTTATCCGTTCTTCATCAATATAAATAGAAAAACATTATATACTGAACCCAAACAATTTACAGTCCATAGAATTAAATTCACCAAAACGATATTCGGACAAGATGATTTTCAGTAACTTCAAAAATGACTTTTGCATAGACACTAGAATTCATGTAAAATGCAATGTTCGACAGAGTAAATCTTGTCGTGTCGTGCATACTGGTTTTGCCATACAGTGAACGAATAGCACACGCGAGTGAATTACATGACGGGTTTCACTTGACGAGTATGGACTGCTTCAGGTGAATTGTAACTCATCAATTCTGTATATTATAATTAAAGTCTACAATACCAACCATTCTACAGATAGTTCAGAATCGACATAGTAGTAAAGGCTTCCGACATTATATCCTCCTCTAGCGTTGTTTTGTGAGTCGAATAAACGATTTGCATTATTTCGATCTCGACTGTTTTCGTCCAATCTATTGTTGCTGCCTCTGTATAAATAATACATAGTTATTAGTCTCTGCACAAATTTAGGATGATGTCACTTCCAGAATTTTGCATGCCTTACAAAAATGACATCACACCCAGAACTTATTTTTCCTGTCGATAAAAATGCCAAAACACTTGTGATAGTACCAGCACCATATTTACTGTTCACCGATTTATGTCCGTAATTTCAATGGATTATGACATGAGCAGAATTGACATGATTCGTTCCGCTGTACATTTTCCAGACCATTGCGGAAATAGATTAGTAAACAAACAAAGGACGCTGAGAACTGGCTACTCTAGCCAGGAATGATAAAAAATTCTCGTCGCCCTCCCTTCATAATACCAAAATTCTGTTTTGGAGCCTGTGGATTTGTCTAGTTAATGTATATTGTTCCTCAAGTTTTGTTACAGTGAACAAAATATCCTGTATCAAATATAACTGTTCCTTTACCAATATGCCTTGGCGAAGACTATAGCACATTTTAAAGATAAATGGTAAATAATATTAATACCTTGGATTATGGAGATATATGTCTGAGCGCACAGAAGCAAGACAGATGGCGATGATCGCCAAGCCATACAACATGACCATTCTTGTTCTGTGACTATTCCGACCCAGCGGAGAAAATATGAAATAGTAAATCAACTACAAAATACAGTGCTGTAAAATGAAAGTTATATCTGTAAAATTATATTCACTGACTGATCGATTACGTAGATGAAATGTCCCGATAAGCAATCTCATGCAAAGGGCCTTAAAAAGATACAAAATTTCAACGATACAAGGAATTGAAACTCTGTCGTAATCCACACACATAACATAAATGTGCTCTATCCATATTAAACTATCAGACTATATTGTAAACAGCCCGTAATTGACCTGCGGTGAAGCCATTTTGTCTGTGAGAAGTTTACATTCTTTTTGTGTCTCAACAATAATGGATTTCTCATATAAACTGGATCGACAAGAAATCTAAATAATTCCAATAACGTAGTCATATTACGGTAGAAATACGACTAAAATACATATAAAAATTGGTCGTTAAAACGCGCAACTCCTCGACCCTTTGTCAGACTGAATATTGTTTTGCGTTCCTGCGCTATACTTTCACAATAAAACCTTTGAGGGAGTTTTTTAAACAGTCTGTTTCAATCGAATCATTCCCTCGTCAGCTTTGCAACATATTCAACGTTCTAATCAATTCGCTATAAACTGCACAACGTCTGTATGCTTGGACTGTAAAACTCTGACGCTATTCACGAGCACCAGACACAAATATAATAACCGCCTTCGCTGACCGGTTCAGTGCTTCGACTGAGTGAATAATTCAAGTCATTACGTTCAATCGACTCACGCACAAAGCCCGGAAATAGCACAAGCTATTAAAACGCTATTTAATACAAAAAATTTCGATTGTTATTGATCTCATTTAACTATTCTCTAAGTAAAAATGTATATTTGTTGCTGTCACGTTATCTTACGTAACCTATACTCATTTAGAACAAGACATCCTGCCAAACTATGGCGGTATGAAACCAAAAAAGGAATTACTGTATTACTTTACTTAAACCCAGCGTTAGCCAACTTCATGACTGAGCTAACGTCACATACCTGTTTCTAAAGTATTGTCGACTCGATACACAATTACGAGTATGACTGACTCTTCTGTTAATATGCAAAGTAAACCACATATATTACTGAACTTTCCAGCCATGTCCAGTCAGATTAAATAAAATCATCTGTCTAGTTCGCATGATGGAGCTACAGTCACAGTTATGCTCGAATGTAGACTCAAATTTTGTTTCCAATTCTCATTTCGCCATTGCGTTCAATTAATGTCATATGTGTGATCCTCTCACAACATGATGACATATACCCGTATTACTGTATTAACGGTACAAAGACAGTCGTGAATCATTCAAATAAAATAGATGTCGAATTGCCGCAGGGCATGCGCTACTTCGTGGTCATCTGTGTTCAATGATTGACATAATAATAACGAACAACCGCCCACTGCCACATATCTTGGAATTAGGGTTTAATTATCGTGTTATGCGCTTGTTCTGAACAAAGCTAGATAAATGCCACAGATATTTAAGAATATCTTAAGCAATCGCTTTACAGTCTAGAGCAGGGGTTCTCACTTTTGGACTTGCGGAGCCCGTGAAGAGGTTGACTAATATTCACGGAGCCCCAAAATAAATTTAAAATTGTTACTTTCCGATTAATATTCCTGAGTAACTTAAAGGTACTTTACGAATTTAAAATTTTTGAATTAAATTTAAATTTAATGGGGTTAATACAAGCCATAAATAAATCTAAATTTCACAGATAAATTATATATACAAAGGCTGTAAATTTGACACTCGACAAACGTATCAATAAATTAGGGGTCGAATCTTGTCTCTATTGATATTTTTAAAAGACTTCAAAGGTCGCTGCGCGATTGCATTTTGTTACAATCGTCTATTGTTTTCGTCAGTATGGCGTGTTTTTTTAAAACCTTAACATCTCTACGTCGGTGTTTATTCTCCTAAATCAAAAATTTAATACCGCATATACATGTATTGTTTCAAAATGACGACGATAATTGCTCTTTTGTTCTGGTGGGGAATTATGAGTTCAACGTGAAAGCATCGTTACTATATTATAGTCATTGCATGATCGGCGACGAGAGGCTAAAATATTTAATAAAGAGGTAAATCCACAACTCAAATTCTTTGATTGAAAATCGGCATTATGAATGATTAACACTAAAACTTAAAACGGAGGATAACACTAAGTTTTGTTTCAGCAGACTCACGACAGATTAAAGTATTTTTAGACATTGTAAATCCCAAAATTTGGTGTTTTGTTAGATTTTCTTTGGTTATTCATCGTAGTAACTGAAATCGAAGCACAGTCAATTATGCGCGCGATGTACCTTTTATCCATTCTGAGACTACCGACGGAGCCGCATGCAATAACATAAATTTCAGTCGTTCGTATTTTGCCCAGACCTTGTGATTTTTTAAACGGCGATATCTTGCAAAGAATCTGAGTTGCAGACCTGCGCGGTAGGAGTTAGTGTTGCAAGAACATCTCAAATTTGTCGAATTCGCTGAATCTACCACACTGCCACGCAATCAGCCATGATTACGATTATGAATCAGGAAGAGCACAAATATCTTATCAAACTACTGGCACCGGTAGTAGGTATGTTCTTTTGTGGGAAACATGACTTTGTTTCTAATATCTTACGATAACAGCGTTGTTCGGGATAAACAGCAGTCCACGAGAACTTCGTTCACTTAACTTTGTTTCTCATTTCATGTCCGCGGATTGCCGTGGTAATCTGAGAAGTAAGGATTTATTACATTGAACACAATGAATCCAATGAACAAGTCATTTTAAATATGCCCCCATCGGTCATAGATTGTAAATTGTACTTTTTGAGTTTTAACGTCAACCTAGGGCTTTTTGTAACCCGATATCTTGCTTAAAAATAATCTCGAGTGCGAAAGTACAAATCAAGTTTGACAAATCCCAAGGTCGCAAAAATACGATTTCAATTTATTTATTGTTGGCAGTTTATCACGTATTTTATATTATTTTACAATAGTAATCTTTTATTTTAGTAATCCTAATAGTAATCTCGAATCAAACGTGAGTAACGATAAGCACAATTAAATTATTATGACAATACATTTTAAATGCTGCTCGCAATAGTCATGGATTGAATATTTTACGCAACAGAAACCTCGTTATCCACTGCAAATTCTTTTCAATCGCGAAGAATGTTGCGCGAAAATTTCCGATTCCAATTTTGAACCCCTCTCCCTCTTTAAGAATCCTGGCTGCGCTCCTTCTTATAAATAATGTCATTTCTGAATTCCGCCTCTTTGCCATATTTCGAGGCTATACTGTTGTCAAATTTTATTAAACCTGTTATTGCTTCTTTGAACAATTACAAAATTAGCAAAGTCAGTATTTTGAAAAGTAATAGAATAGCACGCGGAGCCCCTAGATTTCTTCCGCGGAGCCCTGGCGCTCCGTACGGAGCACTTTGAGAACCTATGGTCTACGCAGTGGTCTTCAAACTTTTTGAGACACGACCCCATCCCATCTACAATATTA